AAGGAGGAGCACGCTCCGTCTTATGGTAACCTGGTGAGTAGTCGCTGACGACGGCGGCGGCGGCTCCGGGAGCAGAGGGGCGCGCAGGGCGGGCCCGGACCGGACGCCGCGCCGGGCGCCCGGGAGCTGAGCGGGCCCCGAGGTGGTCCAGCGGCGACCTGCGGCCTCCGTCGTGCGCCCAGACGGTCGAGCCTGTGGGTCCCTGCGGGCTGAGCTGGCGGCGGCTCCCGCAGTCGGGCAGGAGAAATAGGAGCAGCTGGCGAACGTTTCCCACGTTCTCCCCAATCTGACTTCCCAGCGATGCCACACTTTCAGGCTCTTGGCCTTCGGCTGAAGCTCTAAGCCCGATCCAGGATCCAAACACTGTGCGCCTAGTGCTCGTGCGCCACTAGGACCTCGCCTGACCCTACGACCCCCAGCCTGTCCCTGGGCCACGTGGTTGCTCACTGGTTTGAGGAGCCCCCACCTGCCAGGGGGGGAAAGCGCCTAATGCTAGGAGCCAGGGTTGGTTGGGGACTGGTCCGTGCGCCTGGTCCTTGTGCTCAAGCCCCCAAGGCCACGCCAGGCTGAAGCAGACCTCAGGCCGAGCCAGTGGACTGATGACCGTTGGCTGTGACCACCACATGCAGTCACCAAGAGATGTGAGGACTCCCAGTTTTTCCAGCACCTGCCCTCAGGGTCTTGGGTGAGGCACCAAGGGGATGCTCCTGAAAACACTTGCACTGCTACAGGTCCTGAGATGAGGTGGGGCCTTGGGGGCTACATGAGGGATGGAAGAGAGGTGACCAGGGCTTTGTCCCCCCAAACAGATTACAAAGCCCTTGTCATACATTCAAACAGCTCACGGAGAAAAGCAAGCCATTATCTATCAGGACCTGATGGATCCAGGAAAACAACCTTGAGTGGATGAGGTCTCTTTTCCAGCCCCCCACCCCCGAGAATTCCAGCAAGGCACTCAGTGTCGCAGGGAGATTGGACCAAGAATTGTCCTGGTACAGACTGACCAGGATGTGGGGCCTCAACATTGCCAAGGAACCCGCTGTGGCCCATTCTCCTTGGCTGGCAGTTGAGCAGTGTCTGACCCAGCACCTCTCAGAGCTTGCAGAATTCCAACACACAACACCCACCCCCTAAGCTCAGAGTGAAGGGGGCAGGCACAGGTGGGGACAAGCGTTTGGGGAGCTATTATCCAGAGAAGCTACCTAATGAAAAATTATCTGAGAAAGGAAAGATAAATTAAATCAACAATGAGCTATCACATTTCACATTGTCTCCCATTTAAAAATGAAATTTTGGCAAGACTGTGGTGAAACTTGCCTATACTTTCCTGGTAGGAGATAAGTTGGTATATCCTGTCAGGAAGAGCAATTTGCTGGTATTAACATCCTCACAAATGAAAACTCTTACAAGCAGTAGTGCTCCAAGAATCTATGCTAGGGAAGTAATGCAAAATGCAGATAACAATGCAAGCAAAAAGTGTTTATCACATTGTTTATGTAATCAATACAGTACTGGGGTCTCCAGCCTTCTGAAAAGGAGCTCAGAGGGAGCTCTCTGCCCTCAAAGGTAGTTCTTAAATAACTTCCATCTCCACGTGCCCCACTGAAAGCTTCCAAGATTTAAACAATATCTTGGAGTTCAGGTTCAGCTTAAATGCATTACTCACTCTAATAGTAATAAATAAAAACAAACACCCACAATCAGAAACAGAAACAACCCAAAATAGTTTGCTTTCTCACTCTGGCCATCTTGTTAGCTGTTCTTGTTTGGGGGCCATCCAGCACCTAAAACGGGAAAATGGTGGCCACAGAGAAGACATGGGAGTCAATCAATTCTAGGCTCCAACTGGTTATGAAAAGTGGAAGTGAGTACTACTGGGTACAAGCAGACTCTGAAGATGATCAGACAAGGCAAAGCGAACCTGGTCATCCTCATAACAGCTACCCGGATTTGAGGAAATCTGAATAGAGTACTACCCCATGTTGGCCAAAACCGTGTCCATCACTAGAACAGCAGTAATACTGACTTGGACACAGTGTGTAGAAAATGTTCAAGTATGCGCACTGGCTACCATTTACACGGGTGATTTTAATGTTGTTAGAAGCATGACAGAAACTGGTAAAGAGTAAATTATACAAAATTGTCCAGAACTCATTTAAATAAATAAAATGGCCCTGGCTGGGTGGCTCAATTGGTTGCGGGTTCAATCCCTGGTCGGGGCTCGTACGGAAAGGAACCGATTGATGTATCTCTCTCACATCAGTGTGTCTTTCTCTCTCTCTCTCTCTCTCTCTCTCTCTCTCTCTCTCTCTTTCTCCCTTCCTCTCTCAAATCAATTTTTTTAAAAAGTTCAAATAAATAAATAAAATGTTCATTGTTCAACATTAAAACAAAGTACATACTTCCATGAAGTGGGAAGTACATTAAGCAAGTGTTTATAAATATATTAAAAATATTTCACAGTGTGGGAAGTCATACCATTGTCATGCTAAATAATACAGAGTACCATTCAAAATTGTGTGGTCTCATATATACATTACCCGAATGTGTCCCAGACCCCACCTTCTTTTGTAGCCTCACTACAAAATGCTGAGTATTTGATCTCAATTTGTTAGCTCTTTCTGTCTGAGAAGAACAATTAGGGGAGAAGGAAAGATCAGGGGCTGATTCATAGGGCTTGAAGCACCATCCAAGGACTCTGCCCAGCCTGCACTGATGCCTTCTCTGTTCTCCACTGATACAGGGGTTCTCTGTGCTCACCTCTCTCTCTGGCCTTTTTCCTCCTGGGTCCAGGGGTGTGCTGGATTTAACAACCAGTGCTCTGGGAAAGGTTTGTACAAATCAGGAGCCCTGATTTATAGCATTTGCCAATACCTCCATGGTCAATTTCAAACTGCCAATATGGTATCACTGAACAGAGTTGGGAAGAAATTAGTATAATCAGCTTGGAAAAACTAGTATGAGCTGGCTCCAACTACCACTGCCTGGGTCCCACCATTGGAGAAAGGTTCACAACGGAATTGCTGGGCCTCTAGATCTGTCATCCTCTCAAATTCACCAAAACCTTCCTTTGCCAGTGGTCGGCAAACCGCGGCTCGGCAAACTGCGGCTCGCAAGCCACATGCGGCTCTTTGGCCCCTTAAGTGTGGCTCTTCCACAAAATACCGGCTCTTCCACAAAATACCTACTTCTGCGCATGGGCCACGAAGTTTCAATCGCACTGTACGTGCACGCCCACACGTGGTATTTTGTGGAAGAGCCACACTCAAGGGGCCAAAGAGCCGCATGTGGCTCGCGAGCCACAATTTGCCGACCACTAGAGATGGACACACTCAGAGGCTGGCACAGAACATGCTTAGTACAGTCTCACACCAAGTCCTGAACCCACCATCTTTTCCTTCTAAGGCTCCAAAGGCTTATCCTATCCAGACTGTCCACACTAATGGTGATTTTTTTAGAGGTTTTTAATCTCTCCTTGTAATCTAACTTCCATCAGACCCCCTTATCTGTCTGTAGTGTGTGTATTATCTGGACCCCAATTATGGACACAATTCAGGGGTTTTCCTAGTCTTGGGATACACTCAGATGTCAAATGTGGCTGGATAACTTGGGTTAACTAGAGAAGTGTGGATCCCAGCAATTCCTCCAAGTGGAGTTTACAATAGAGGAAGCGTTGGGACCCACGCTTCTTTCTCTCCCCTAAACTGGCAGCAGTCTGCACCATTGCAATTTTTCCTGGGAGAGCAGCAGTAATCTTTTACCTAGAGCACACTTTGGCCCGGCTGGTAAGGCTCAGTGGTTGAGCATCGACCTATGAACCAGGAGGTCACTGTTTCGATTCCCGGTCAGGGCACATACTGGGGTTGCGGGCTCGATCCCTAGTAGGGGGCATGCAGGAGGCAGCCAATCAATGATTCTCTCTCATCATTGATGTTTCTATCTATCTCCCTCTCCCTTCCTCTCTGAAATCAATAAAAATATATTTTAAAATACATATAAAGCACCTCTCCTGGCTCAACTCCTAAGGGCCGTGATCCCATACACCCACAGCCCCAGACCCAAGATACATTTCCTGCCTGATCCACTGGGAGGCCGTCCACTGGAAATTGTGCCCAAGCCCTCTTTGGAGGCCCAGCTCTTTCAACCAGATTGAGGCCAACTTCCCCTGGCCCTGGTATCACCTTAGGCCCCTCTGGGGACATAGAAGTTTCAATGCATTGATAGCTGAAGCCATTGATGGGTTGGTTCTCCAATCTACGAATCAGGATGAAGATCTGACAATTACAGCTTGCTTCCTTCACCAGGAAGCAAGTAGCCTTAAAAAATTTTTATTTTAGGAAGGGAAACATTGACTCATCCATGCATTATGGGTTGCTTCCTGTATATACCCTGACAGCGTATCAAACCCACAACCTTGGTGTAGGGATGATGCTCTAACAATTGAGCTACCCTGGGGAGAGCCTGCAAGGGCCATCTTGGAAGAACCCTCATTTTCTTGTCCTGAGAGCTTACCCTACACTCAGGAATAGGAATTCTGCACAAACTTTGTATAAAGCAAAGACCCCAGCCAATCTGCAGCATCATGGAGAGGATTGGGACAACTTAGGTACATTTTTGAGCTTGAGGTTGGTGTTCATGAGTTTTAGTAATGCTGGAAGCTGCTGCGAGGATCAACTGGGAAACTTGGCAACTTAGAGGATGTGGAACCCCAGGTCCCCATTCCACCACCTATTGCTGCCATGAGAACTTGAGTTTCTTTTGCACACCAGCCGTTATAGTGTCCTACAGCTTTCAAACATTTCTGCCCTGCTAGCAGTGGTTGAGTGTTGACCTATGAACCAGGAGGTCACAGTTCGATTCCTGGCCAGGGCACATGCTGGGGTTGGGTGCTCGATCCCCAATGTGGGATCCCCAATATATATTTTTATTGATTTCAGAGAGGAAGGGAAAGGGAGAGATAGAAACATCAATGATAAGAGAGAATCATTGATCGGCTGCCTCCTACATGCCCCACATTGGGGATTGAGCACCCAACCCCAGCATGTGCCCTGGCTGGGAATCAAACCGTGACCTCCTGGTTCATAGGTCAACGCTCAACCACTGAGCCTCGCTGGCTGGGCTAAAAATATATGTATATTTTTAAAATTTCCAACTAGGCTGGCAGGGTTGGCAAGGTTTTCCAAGAAGTGCAGCATAGTGCAGAGTAGGGATGCAATACATATTTATAGAATGAGTGAGACAGTGTTTGTACAATGCCTATATTTTTTAATATTTAAGATTTGATTTTCCTTCTGAAAACCAAATAAATTGAAGATTTAAGTAAAAACCTGAGGGCTCTCTTGGTGCATTGTACATTCTAGTACATTTTTTTGCTCACAACCCCTTTCCCTATGTAGTAAAGTCATTAATTGTTGCAAGATTTAAAAATTTTAAAGCTGCTGAGTCAGACAGCAAAACTTCCAAAAACATTATTTTACCAGGAGATAATGGTCTTCAAAATACAACCAAAGCCATGGCTGGGTAGTTCAGTTAGTTAGAGCATCATCCCACATTAAGGTTGTGGGTTTGATCCCCAGTCAGGACACATACAAGAATCAACCAATTAATGTATCAAATAAGTGGAACCAACAAATAGGTTTCTCTCTCTTCCCCCGTCTCTCTCAAATCAGTAAATTGAAGCAGAATCATAGTCCTATAGTTCAACTCAGTTGAGTTAGTGAGAGCAGTTCAAAATTTTCTCAAATTTTTGGCTAGATTTTATTATTTTTTAAAAATATATATTTTATTGATTTTTTACAGAGGAAGGGAGAGGGATAGAGTTAGAAACATCGATTAGAGAGAAACATCGATCAGCTGCCTCCTGCACACTCCCTACTGGGTATGTGCCCGCAACCAAGGTACATGCCCTTGTCCAGAATCAGACAGCCCGAGGAGCCACTGCCACCCAGGGAGCAGCCACTGCCACCCAGGGTCCAGCCACTGAACGATTCAACAACTAGTCATGTCAGTGAGATCAAACATGGGTAGACAGAATCAAACCTGGGACCCTTGAGTCCGCAGGCCAATCGATACTCTATCCACTGAGCCAGACCGGTTAGGGCTAGATTTTAAATTAGATGTGGGATTTCCTTCTGTGTGCAGAATGCAAATAATGTATTTCCAGTATGAAAGTGTTTATAAAAATACTTCTCTAAATATATCCTCCTGGAAAAGGGTAAAATGGAGATTCCAGACCCCAGAAACACCATTTTAAGATGCGAAGAAATGGGAGGCCTTTGCTGCCTCTAAAAGTTACAATAACTAGAAACACCTCCCACTATTTTTCTCTGGTTGTTTTTTTTTTTTACCTAAATAGCTTCCATTTTCTGTATATTAAAAAAGGCTAGTAGAGGCTTATATTTGCTCATGTTCAACAGGACAAGTACACTTCAGGTATGTGTGCCACCAATGGACAATTTTCAGGAACAGGAACAGTTATTATGAACCAAATGCTTCTGACAGCTTCTAATTAATTTACTAGGAACAACTTGGCTTTTCCTAGTTCTCTGAAGGCTCAAATGAAAGAGAATTCTAAGTCACAGCCTAGCAACAAAGATGAATAATGCTAACTTTACCAATGTTGGACCCAGAAATCACTAACACTTTCTCATGCCAACTTATTTTTAATAACCTTTATTGCCTTCTTGATTTCAAGCATAGAATATACTCAATACAAAACATGAAAGTCACAGGCATTAAAGGAAAATACAGACTATATGTAATCTCCACTTTTATGAAAATTTTCAAAGTTGGATAATACAATGAACAATGTATATAGGTCCCACCTAGATTCTATGTTAATTTTGCTTTGTTTTTCTCCCTGTATTATATATTTTGCTTAGCCACGGAAAAGTTGTATTACAGAGCTTCATCCCTAATATTTCAAAAATCAGGACAGTCATACACAAGTTTATCATACCTAAGAAAATAATTCTACCATCACCTATTTCATTTTAAAATTTCCAATTATCACAAGAATTGTTATAGCCATTTATTTTGCACTTGAGTTGCAGTATGACCCACATTGTGTACTTGTCCGATTGTTTGCTCATGTTAATGGGTTCCTCTACCCTTCTATTTCCAGTCAGCTGGAAATTAAGTCTAGATACTGGAATAGATTCAGGCTTTTCTTTTTTTGCCTAGGTGCTATTGTTTTTCTTTAGGAAGTATGTATCAGGGTTGTCCCATTTGTGTTGCCGGGTTTGACCACTTGATTATGGTAGTGACAGGCATCAGTCAACATCGTTTTCCTTTTGCAAGTTATCTGTACAGCATTTGAGCACTGAGCAGATTCTTTTACTAAAGGTTTTGGCATCCACTGTTCTTTGCTCGATCAGTTATTTCATTAAGGGTCAGACACTATTAAAACACTGAATCTTCATGGTAGAATGAATAATTCTTTCCCTTAAGCCTTCAGTAATGTAGATTGACCTTTGGGGCCATGGACTTGTTTGGTAAACTTCAGTTGCCGGACTGCTCCCAATGAGGATGGAAGATGTTGTCAGGCGTATTTCAGGCTGGAGTCCTGCTCCCGGCTCCCGGCTCCACCACTGAGAAGACAACTCACATAGGAAAACCACAAATACAAGGCCAGACCTAATGTGTCTCCATAATCTAGGCAAGTAGAGGCAGCTTGGATTTGCTAAGTCTAATTGAGCAAGATCCCTAGAGTCAGACCTGCCTTAATGATAACCACTGATTCTATAAAAAGAGGTTGAAAATTAACAGAAACTACTGAAGAAAATAAGTTGTTGAAAAAATGAAAGCCATTGCTGTCAAAACAAACACACTTCTACAGATCAAACTGGCACTTATTGCCATGTAATTCAACTTAGGAAGAACAAAAGAACATATACAAAATAGAAACTGTGAGAATTGTGTCTAAATAGGCAGGTCAAGGTTTTAAAGAATGAAGATAATTTCGAAACACAAATTTCTGATTTTCAGAATTCAAAATAGAAAATGATTTTCAGTAACCAGTTAACCGAAAATTATTCTGAGAGTTGATATTCCAGGATATTTCTTTTTATGCTACATAGTTCTGTAATTTTGAAACTTCTTTCTGGAGGAAAATGAAACTCCTAAAAACCTAAAAGCAAAGTGAACCCCACAGGCTCCCGAGGTTGTGGATGGGGACCCAGCCTGCTTGCAGGCTGAAGTCAGTTCATCCGGGAGGGTCATATGACTTTTCTGAAGGCTTTGATTACATGCCGAGTTTAGAAATGATACAAGGTGTAAGAATTAACCCGAGTGGCAAATAAGATTTATACAAAATGAGATAATATAATAAATTATCAGTTTGAAATTTAGTTGACTGTGGCAAAGAACTCCCAAAGGCAGAGATAGAGAATGGGTAAACAGCCTCATGGGTTTCTGTTATCTGAAAACTCAAGGCACATCTGTGTGAGGAGAGTACCCTAACAGCCCTCTGGGGTCTAGGCAGATGGGAGTGTTGATCCATCTGGAGCAGGTCTGGCCACATCTACAGGCTGGAGTTAGGCCCAAAATGAATGGTATACTCAAGAAGGACTCTGATGAAGTGGGGAACAATCCAGAGTCCAGAGAAGACTGCAGAATAAAGGAGACTCTGGCCATCTGGAATCTCAAACTCAAGGCTCTAAGTTACAAAAGCTGGCCAAGGATAACTGAAATGGTCTCAATAAAAGGCCAACTGTTTACAATCCAAATTTAAAAAGCACCACCACCATTAAAAACTTTATTTTAGAAAGTACTCATCTATGGCAAACAGTGGAGATCTTTTAACCTTCATATCCATCACAAATTAATTTTTTAAAAGGAAAGGATTTAGCATTCCTGCAGAAAATACAATGAATAAACCCAACAAGGCAGCAGATACTGTGCAGGCATGTACAACAAGTATGCAGAGGCCATTTATTTGGTCCATAAGTACAGTATAGTTGTATTTGAGTTTTACAAAACATCAAATATAAATAACCTGAAACTGTAACAATACACAAAAATTGGCTTCTTACACAGACATACCAGGCAGTACAAGCTGAAAACTTGAGTAAATTAACATTGTTTTACATCAATATACATAGTGCCAGTTCATATTTAAAAACAAGTTTCAATACAGCACTTGATACTTTTTTTAAATCTGTTTCAGTTAAGAGTATGAAAATGGTTAGATCTAGGCTAAAAATAATTCTTTTTCTAACCAAAAATAAAGGCATAATATTTATAACCAGGTATCAACTTTACTAAACCACAATATTTTAAACTATTAAATGATACCTAAGAATATTTACATTAAAAAGGCAACATGCATTGTGTTGTTTCTTCTCATGACTAGTTATGCAAACGCTTTGCTCAGAGGGTTTTTAAACTATATTCCTACTTTCCATACAGCATTCCACAATGTGTCTGATAGTTCTAGCAAAGTGAGTGCTTTCAAAGGGAGCAGAATCATCTTCAAGTCACTGGGGTCAACTTTTTCCTTTTGGAACAAAGGACATTGGATGATCCATGCAGTCAGAGGGTTCTGCTGGAGGCACTGCTGTTCAATCTAATGCTATAATATCATCAAGCTCTCTTGTCTGTTCTGTGCGTGACCTCTTTGTACTGATATTCTCTTTCTCATCCAATTTCCTCTTGCGACTTCTCTCTTCACTGATGTCAGCATTATTTGAAGGACCTTCTTCATCGGAATCAACTATGAGCACATCATCTTGCTCTTGTGCTTATTTCAGAAAAAAGAAAAATGGTTAAAAGTGTGGGAATTACTAATGGTTCATTAATATATTCATATAAGTGAAAAGCTAACTCTTCTGATATAGACCAGACTTAAGAAAGGCTACCCTTCACTTTATACATCACATATTCCTATACTCCCTTAATGTTTTCTGTAACAAGTACCTATTCCTTTTCTAATCAAAACAAAAATTATAACAGGCATGATATAACTCATATAAATTACTACAGTTCCTTATTTCTATTTCGCCAACAGAAAAGGGAGGGTAAAAATCCTAATACTGTGGTAGTGGTGGTGGTAAACAACAACAACACAACAACAACAACAACATACACACAGCACTTACAATGTGCCAGGAACTGTTCTGAGCACTTTGCAAATAACAACTCATTTAATCATCACAACAACCCTATAAAGAAGATAACATTATTATCCGTTTTCCAGAAAAGAAAACTAAGGTACAAAAAGGTTGACTTGCCCAAAGTCAAAAGCAGAGGATGAGGTCAGGATGCGGTTTTGTGCCCCCACCCAACAAATCAAAGGCAGAGTACTATCTTACTTATTGCACCAGCCTCCAAAACCTACCCACAGAGGATCAATCAGTCCACATTTCAAATTATGATTTTTAAAAACTACCCTAGTCCCTTCCTCAAAGGATGATGGGCCTCTCTATTTTCAGAGAAGAAAGGTCATGAACCCATGGCCCACAAATGGGCCAAACTGTAGATAGTCTCAAAGACCACCTTTAAAACTCTCAGAGAACATCAGAACCTAGAACCACACTCCAAAGAACATCAAAGACCCAGGGTCAAAGAATTGAAAAAAGAAGTACAAAAATCGGTACCTTTTTGTTTCCTGACTTAAAGAATAAAGAGGGGTATGTGTGGGGAGGGGTAGTAGACATCCAAATCCAGCACAATCAAGTACAAGCACCAGCACTGAAAACCCAGCATCAAGGCCTCTGATACACTGTTCCCAGTCATATTGGTTCTGAGAAAACTGTGAAATGCTATAATTCTGTACTCAGCAAGCATCTGCTCACTCCAAAGTCAGATGTACTGATCTGTCATCTCTAAATAAAACAGGGATACAAAATCCAAAACTACGACTACTACTAAGAATGGTCTTTATGATCTAGTGCAGTGATGGCGAACCTTTTGAGCTCGGCATGTCAGCATTTTGAAAAACCCTAACTTAACTCTAGTGCCGTGTCACATATAGAAATTTTTTGATATTTGCAACCATAGTAAAACAAAGACTTATATTTTTGATATTTATTTTATATATTTAAATGCCATTTAACAAAGAAAAATCAACCAAAAAAATGAGTTCGCGTGTCAGAGGTTCGCCATCACTGATCTAGTAGAAAACTCACTGACATGTCCAATTGTAAAAATCCACTAACAAAAAAATAACTCAATGTTTCTAAATGGCTTCATGGGTCATACATCAAAACTCCATTAAAATAATCAATGCCAGCCCCAAACCGGTTTGGCTCAGTGGAAAGAGGGTCCTGGGTTCGATTCCAGTCAAGAGCATATACCTAGGTTGCAGGCTCGCTGCGTGTGCGAAGGCAACCAATTGATGTCTCTCTCTCACGTCAATGTTTCTCTCTGTCTCTCTCTCCCCCTACCCCTCTCTCTAAAAACCAATGGAAAAAATATCCTCAGGTGAGGATTAACAACAACAAAATCAATGCCAAACCAAAACATACCTCTAGTAGTCCTATGGATTTCTCCTTTATTGTCAATGTTTATGAAATAATCATAATTTGTTTCTATATAGTCTTGCCTGTTGGTTGGGTAATTAACCTTCTGGCTGGGACCATGACTCACCTGTGGATGTCGAAGGCTGAGCTCCATCGTCACTGCCATTGGTTATGCTTTTGGCAGCATCTTCAGCTTGTTTGGGCCCCACTTTTTCTGGGGCATCACCAACAACTTCAAATTCAACATCCTTTCCTAGGTCTTCACTGTAAAAGAACCATACGCTATAAAAATAGACCAGCACTACAACTATTTACAAAAGCAAGGTCACACCAGAAGAGATCCTGCTGCTCAGTTTGAAGGATAGGCTATGTACACACCAAATATTTGAATTCTGATTTTCTTTCAAAGAGCTAAAATAAAAAGCAAGACTATATATAACAGATTTTTGTGACAATTCCAAACTCTCTAACTCAAATTGTAAATACCACTGCATCTTCAAACAGGCACAGCGTGGTTTGTTTTTTATGTTAAATAACTTTTATTACTAAAGCAGAAAATTGAGCCTAATACTCTATGGCCCAATGTAACTTGCTGGCATTATTTCTTCAGCTACTATGCAAAAAGATTCCACACTTGACTAATTCTGATCTTGACCAAAGTAATTTGGTGTTTTAGAAGTAGGGTACATGGATTCTATGTTTCCCCCATCTTTACAGGCAGCACCCTTGCTTTTTGTAATGAGTTCCCAAAAACATGTACACAAGCACACCACTGGCATCCAATTGGTGACTAATTGAGGCTAGAGCTCATTCCTAGCATTATCTTTGCTCAATTGTCTGACTTTGTGAAACATACTTATTACTAACTAGAGGCCCGGTGCACAAAATTCATGTGGGGGGGGGGGGGGTCCGTCCCTCAGCCTGGCCTGTACCTGCTCCCAATCCGGGACCACTGGCTCCTAACCCCTTGGGGGATGTCCGCCTGCCGGCTTAAGCCCGCTTCCCGGGGGGATTGGGCCTGAGCTGGCAGTCAGACATCCCTCTGGCAGCCCCGGAGCCCTCAGGGGATGTCCGACTGACAGCGTAGGCCCACTCCCCGTGGAATTGGACATCCTTAGCGCTGTCGAGGAGGCGGGAGAGGCTCGTCAACTGCGATCATCAACCCTGCTTGTGGCTGAACGGAGCTCCTCCTGTGGGAGCACACTGACCAACAGGGGGCAGCTCCTGCATTGAGCGTCTGCCCCCTGGTGGTCAGTGCACATCATAGCAACCAGATCCTGGTCATTCTGCCATTAGGGTCAATTTGCATATTACCCTTTCATTATATAGGATACCCAAATTTTTCTGTCAGTCAAACCTCAGGGAATTTAGGGCCAACTTGAATAAATGTACTGTGCAGTTTCAAATGAATATTAGGGTTTAAGGATAAGAAAACATATTTTCTCCATTTACTTAAGTGCATATATGAAAATAATTTCTTACATTTAAAATATTAATAGTTCTTACCTATGAAGGATGTTGATCAATAAAGTGTAGTCCTGAAGAAAGTCGTCTGCTTGAAGCCGGCTCCCATTTCTAATTCCAAATTCTGACAACTTCTTGTGATTATTAGCTACGAAAAATTTTAAAGAAATTTAGATACATTAATTATATTTCCATGGAGCAGTCACATCAATTAAAAAAGGTTAACACCCACCCTAAGCTGAATCGTGCCCCCCAATTCTTATGTTGAAGCACTAACCCCAGGACTTCAGAATGTGGCTGTATTTGGAGACAGTGCTTTTTAAAGTGATTAAAAGAAGGCTGTTAGGGTGGGGTGGGCCCTGATCCAATCTAACTGGTATCTTTATGAGAAGCCATGGAGATAAACCTCAGGAGAAAACAAACCTATTGCCACTTGAAGTCCTCTAGCCCCAGAACTATGAGAAAATAAATTTGTTATTTAAGTCACCCTATCTGTGTATTTTGATAGGGCAGTCCTAGCAAACTAATCCATTAAAATATTAGGCACTTAGGAATTTGTCCTTGAACACTCAACTACTAAAACTACTTCAAAGGCACCAAACAGAGATTCTGAGAACTTTTTCCCATTCAAACCAAATTAATCTGGAATCTTGAGGAGTCAAAGACAACTTTTAGGGCTGTACAAAATATATCCTTTATTGACATGTGTGTGTGTGAGAGAGAGATCGAGTGAGAGATCAATTTGTTCTTCCACTTATTTGTGCCTTCACTGGTTGCGTCTTGTATATGCCTTGATTGAGATTGAACCCACAACCTTGGTGTATTGGCATGATGCTCTAACCAACTAAGCTACCTGGCCAGGGCCAAAATATATTCTATGTTGCAAACAGGTTATCCACGACAAAACTTTTTAGCAAATTTTACAATTCAGAAGTATAAGAAAACTTTAAATAAAAACTTGATTTCTCAACATCAACATTTCTCAATGAAGAGCTAGTGGGGCCTCCCCAAAATAAACATTCCAACCTAGTTCTATCTTCCACATGTCTTTTCTGTTTCCTCTGAATATCCTTAGTAGACAGAATGTGCTTGGCACCCAGTTAGGACTCAACAGACCTTTGCTACATGGATAAATACTCCAATGAAAAACAATCCCTCCAACCACACTTTTGGTGTCACCTATTCTAGAGCCTTTCTGCCTTACTTATGCTTTCTCTCCTGCATGTTCAAATGCTCCCTCTCTCTGACCTGTAAAAGCACGCAAGTCTCATCTACAAAACTGCTTATGCTATAGCACAGGGAATTAGTCAATAATATTGTAATAACTATGTTTGGTGTCAGGTGGGTACTAGACTTATGGGGATGATTCACTTTGTAAATTATGTAATTGTCTAACCCAGCCGTGGGCAAACTACAGCCCGCGGGCCGGATCCGGCCTGTTTGAAATGAATAAAACTAAAAAAAAAAAAAAAAAAAGACCGTACCCTTTTATGTAATGATGTTTACTTTGAATTTATATTAGTTCACACAAACACTCCATCCATGCTTTTGTTCCGGCCCTCCGGTCCAGTTTAAGAACTCATTGTGGCCCTGGAGTCAAAAAGTTTGCCCACCCCTGGTCTAACCACTATGTTGTACACCTGAAATTAATATAATATTGTATGTAAACTGAAATAAAAAAATTTTTTAAAAATTTAATCCTCACCTGAGAATACTTATTCCACTGATTTTTAGAGAGAGTGGAATAGAAGGGGAGAGAGAGAGAGAGAGAGAAACATCAATGTAAGAGAGACACATCGATTGGTTGTCTCCGGAACGCGTCCCAACAGGGTATCAAACTGCAACCCAGGAATCAAACCTGAGAGGCTGACACTCTAACCACTGAGACAAACTGAAGAGGGCTAAAAAATTTTTTAGCTGAAGTCTTAAGGAAAATAAAACCCTGCTTCCTCATCCTGCTGCCTATATACACTCCCTCCTTGCTACACTCAGTCCACTTTATTGAGTATTTGTTTGTGAGGGGCACAGACTGTATAGCACCTGCTGATCTATATCCACAGTGCCTGACATATACTGAGTAAACTATATTTTAAGTTCTAGTTGTCATGTTTAACTTTATGTAATTTCTTTCTTTAGTTTTTCTTTCTTTCACTGCTTAAGAGGGAAAATGATTTAGGAAGTATCTCCCTACCTAGACTTTGAAACCCAGAAACTATTGACAGTTTCTAGTTCTCTCACAATTTTTTTTTATTATTTTAACTTTCCAATCTACCTGGAATGTCTTCAGAAAACCATAGTTCCCTCCCATCCTTCCATCCCAAGACCTTTCACAAACTCCCCACTTTACAAACTCCTCAAACCCAACATACTCAAAAGGAAAACAGTTACTGTGCATTCTAACCTGGTTATTAGCATCATCTGTAAACCTACAGTCCTGGCAACAGTCCTGTAATAATGCTGTTCTTCTTCACCTGTGCCCTAAATTCTGACCTTGCAAATCTCAAGTCTTGTCATCTGCTTCTATCTTAGTAAAAATCCTTCACTCCCGGCTCCTGTCTCCACTCTCACACCCTTAATTTACCCTCTGCAAATCATACTAGAAGGTAAACACATTACTTCACCTCTTAAACCCTGGTGGGAGTAAGATATTTGGGGTTTGGGGGAGGACAAAGACACATTTTTCTGTAGTCACAGAAAGTCCTACAGTGCACTTCCATGAACCAGCACTGCCACCCCCACAGCACCCTAACTTCCAGTGAAAACAAAAATAAACTGGGCCATTTCTGAAAGTCCTTTCCTGTTGTTTCTATAAAGACATGCCCTTTTTAGAAGCCTGCTCATATGCAAGCCACTCCCTTCTCTGCCCAGAGGAGTGCTTTACTTTCTTCCAAGAAACTGGTCCAAGAGTCCCTTTTTTCCTGTGAACTCCCTTTTGAACCTCCCTTCACAAAGTTTTCAATTCATATACTCTTTTTTCCACCAGTATTTCTTAGACCAGGGGGTGGGCAAACTTTTTGACTCGAGGGCCACAATGGGTTCTTAAACTGGACCGGAGGGCCAGAACAAAAGCATGGATGGAGTGTTTGTGTGAACTAATATAAATTCAAAGTAAACATCATTACATAAAAGGGTACGGTCTTTTTTTTTTTTTAGTTTTATTCATTTCAAACGGGCAGGATCCAGCCTGCGGGCCGTAGTTTGCCACGGCTGTCTTAGACTGTACTAAATCCGCTAGTTGATCATCTCTCCTCTCTCCAGGCTACAAAGAAATTCAAACCAGAAGACTACTGTCGCACTCATCCTTGAATTATGAATACCTATGACTGTGCCTATGATATATAGGACTACACACGTATTTGAGTAAATGCCATCTCACCCTCAGCAGCACACGTATTTTGTGGAGAAGGGCCACATTTAAGCCACTGAGATTCTCGACCAGTTTCTATTTTTAAGGACCTAGCATTTGAAAGGAACCAAAAGAACAGTGTATAGTCATGAACAAATTTTTATTTTTTATTTTTGTGAAGACAGCTGTCAAGAATGGGGCCTAAATATTCAACTAGACTCTTAAAATAGACTACTACCCAGCCAAAATATGGCCTCCAAATGGCCTCCAATTACTCATGACCTAAAAGCCCAAACAATTTGACAAGTAACTACAGCCAAGAAGAATCCCGACACTAAGTTTTAATTTAAAGAAAGCTTAACATCCCCATCAGGATCTGGCAAAGTGTACTGAATAAATAACCAGTGAAGAAACAGGTAAATAAGTAAATTAATATAGAAAAAAACAATGCCCCTAGATTTTCAAAGCAATGGTATACTGACAAAATCTGAAATATAAAGAAATCAACTAAAACGATAACCCAAGAGATTGAGATGCCAAAGTGACAGAAGAGAACTGTTAATTCCAATCAGACTGACTAGTGTAGGCCAAAGGAGAACCAATCAGAAAGCTTAAACAGAATCAAATACACTGAACCTTATATAACAAATGCAGTAACAAAAGTTGACAGGCTTCTTAAACATAAAAATAAAGTCTAGCCCTAGCCACTTTTCTCAGTGGATAGAGCATCGGCCTGTGGATTGAAGGGACCGATGTTCGATTCCAGTCAAGGGCACAAATTGCAAGGAAAACAATCAATGTGCCTCTCTCACTCCCCCGCCCTTCACTCTCTCTAAAAATCAATGAAAAAATATCCTCAGGTGAAGATTAAAAAAATATATATCTAAAAAGCCAAAACTAGGTACTGATTTTCAGCACTACTTTCTGCTCTCTAGTAGGAGCAGGCTATGAAGGGTTCTCCTCTTGGGTCAAACACCTAAAAGCCTTAGATTACCATCTACTCTGATTTAACAGCCAGAACAATTTTCTTATTACCAAATTAGCTCCAGGATCCATGATACAGGCAAGGCAGTTCCTTCAAATTGGACAAGAGCATTGAAGTCATAGTAAATGATGACTATCCATTGGGTTATTGAAAAATAGCACCTGAGACACACTGACAACATGGAGTTCCCAAAACTGTAACTTGTGATCCTACCAAGGCAATGCCATCTTGGGAGAGCACCTCCTTGACCACATATTGCCTCTTTCAGCTATGATACTGAGTAACATACATAGCAAATGAACAACCTAATGTGCACTCCTTCATTTAGACATCTCCACTCAAAAGAGCGAAGTGAATAAATGCAATGTATCATACCTTCTGTCTCTCCCTCTTCCGAAGATATTAGGATTGTTCCTTTCCCATCCTCGATTTGGACATCTGGTGCTACCATAGCAAATTTTTCTTTCACAATCTACAGAAGAAAAAAAAAAAATCAAAATATTGATATAAGTAATTAAAGACCATATAACTTAGACCCTTTTTTCCATATAGGGTCTTACTTTCCCCTTCCATTGGAAAGGAGCCAAGTAGTCCTGTAAGATACCTTAGGCTAGCTAGGGCAAGTTGGAAAGCAGTGGGAATTCACCCAATTACTTCATGCCCATGTTCCATCCTCATGTTTGACCACTGATGAAGATAAGATACAACTTGCTCTAAATGGAGGACTGAGAACTCTTTGATTGGCTCTTGGTATTTTGCACTTCCCTGCAGATTAGATACTGAGCTGGACATATAACATAATTTCTTTTAGTCCCCATGACAACCCTGCACTGGCAGATGTTTTACAGATTCAAATTTTCTCATTAACCTGACTCTCAAAGATGGCGTTCCTCTTCCCAAATTCCATTTCGCTTTAAGTTCCAAGATGAATCAAAAGCAGTAATATTCTGTCAAATCTACAAGCTCCTAAACGGGGGGAGAGGGGGGTGGGGAAACCTCTCTAAAGGTTTATAAAGAGTGGAATTACCTTTAAACTCAAGAATGAGTAGATACAAACTATAATTATTTCCTAAGAAAAAAGGTGAGGCCCTAGCTGGTTTGGCTCAGTGGATAGAATGTCAGCCTGCAGACTGAAGATCCCAGGTTCAATTCTTGCCAAGGGCACATGCCCAGGTTGCGGGCTTGATCCTCAGTGTGGGGCATGCAGGAAGTAGCTGATCAATGATTCTCTCTCATCATTGATGTCTCTGTCTCTTTCTCCCTCTCCCTTCCTCTCTAAAATCAATTTTTTTAAAAAAAAATTTAAAAAGAACATCAAAAGAATTTTTTTAATATTGTTAAAAAAAAGAAAGAAAGAAAGAAAGGTGGGGCAACCATCCTCTGCTGGCCAGTATTACAAGTCCTGCCGTTTTCCTATCCAAAACATAAGATCCAACCAACATGCTCTTGGAGAAAGGAGATTTCCTTTTAAGCAGCCTTTAGACCATGAAGGTCTACAAGGCATACACACACACACACACACACACACACACACACACACACACACACACGACGATGGAAATGATCAGAGAATAATCTGAAGTGACCCCAAAAGTGGGAAGTGATACCCATTGGGGCCATATTTTATATGTTCCCTAATAAAAACACTAGAGCCTGAGAAGCTCATGGTGGCAAGTCGGAAGCATTCATACCAGGAAGGCAGTGGCTGGGGCAGCAGTGGTGGCAGGCACAGAAAGGATTAGGAAGGGCCAGGGAAGGCTGCTCCATCCTTGTACCTGGAGAGCCAGCCAGAGAGCACAATTTAGGTGCAGCACCACGACACTGCCTGCCCCAGATTTAATTCTGCAGTGGGGGGTTTTGCGAGCAAAATTCTGGTGGCTGCTGCGATTCCGGTGCAAATCTTATATTTGGATTAAAAATGGCGGCAGAGTAAGCAGATGCTACACAGACACACTCCTAGGATCAAACTGGAGTTACAATTAAAATACACACACAAAAAAATCCTAAATAATCAACTGAAAACTATGTGGAGAGAACCCTGATAACCAAGAATGAAAAGTGGAGACTGCATAGAGACTGACATTTGCTATCCAGGTGGTAGGGCCTGGGGGGAAGACCAAGTCGACCCACCCTAATGGAAAACACCTTGCCCCATAGAGTAGAGTTTCTGAGGCCCATTAAGAGATTGAGAATAACAATTAGCCTCCAGGCAGAAGCAATTGCCCCACCCTGTTGGCAAAATTGTTGCCATACCTGTGGACCATTGCCTGGAGGCTACACAACTCTAAATCCAATCAGTCTGCAAGCAGAGGTGGTCCCTGGAGGCTTTGAGTCTTTGCCTGATCTAATTAGTCTTAAACAGCATTTGACAGTGTCCTGTACTAGAGATTGAAAGGCATAGCAGATCTACCTAATACATAGTCACAAACCCAAACAGGCACCCAAAATGTGGAGACAAGAACAACCCCCAAACAAAAGAACAAAAGAATTCTCCAGGAGAAGAGATAAATGAAATGGAGACAAGATATTTATCTGATACAGAGTTCAGAATAATGATGGTAAAGATGCTCAACAGCATGAGAAAAGATATAGTAACTATGAAAAACAGAAATAAAGAAAAACATAGCACAAATAAAGAACACACTGGAAGGAATACACAGCAGATTGGGGAAGCTGAGGATCGAATCAGTGAATTAGAATGCAGTGTACAAAAATTACTCAATCAGAGAACAAACGAGAAAAAACAAGAGGACAGCTTAAGGGAGTTATGGGACAGAGAACGTGTTTGAAGAAATGATGGCAGAAAACTTCCCTAACCTGGTGAAGGAAAAAGTAACACAAGATCAGGAGGCACAGAGAGTCCCAAGCAAGAAGAACCCAAACAGGCCCACGCCCATACACATCATAATTAAAATGCCAAAAATTAAACACAAAGAGAGAATCTTAAAGGCAAAAAGAGAAAAGCAAACTGTTACCTACAAAGGAGCTCCCATAAGGCAGTCATCAGATTTCTCATTAGAAATTCTACAGAACAGAAGGGAATGGCATGAAGTACTCAAGGTAATGGAAAAGCAAGGATCTGAAACCAAGATTACTATATCCCGCAAGGCTATCATTCAAAATAGATGGTCAAATAAGGAGCTTCCCAGACAAAAGTAAAAAAAAAGGTTAAAGGAGTTCATCACCACCAAGCCAGCATTATAAGAAATGCTAAAGGGACTGCTGTAATAAGAAGAGAGAAACTTAGGCATACAGATCTAGCAATAAGAACCTTAAATGTAAATGGATTGAACGCTCCAATCGAGACATAGAATAGCTAAATGGGTACAAAAACATGACTCAACTATCTACTGTTTACAAGAGACCCACCTTAGAACAAAAGACACACACAGAATGAGAAAAAATTTTCCAGGCAAATGGAAAAAAAAAAGCTGGAGTACCAATACTCATATCTGAAAAAATAGATATCAAAATGAAGGACATCACAAGAGAGAGTAAAGAACACTACATAATACTAAAGAGATCATTCCAACCAGAAGACATAACCATGGTAAACTTATATACACCCAATATAGGAGCACCTACATATATAAAAAAAAACTTCTAGAGGACTATAAGGGAGAGATCAACAACAATACAGTCATAGGAAGGGACTTTACACCCCGCTGACCTCAGTGGGTAGATCTTCCAGACAAAAACTTAACAAGAAAACAGTGATTCTAAAGGACACATTAGATCAGATGGGTTTAACTGACATTTATAGAACATTTCACCCCACAGCTGCAGAATATACATTCTTCTCAAGTGCACATGAATCATTCACAAAGATAGACCACATGTCAGGACACAAATTTCTACAAGTTCATACCAAGCATCTTCTCAGATCACAGTGGAATGAAATTAGAAATCAACTACACTAAAAACACCCAAAACATTCAAACACACGGAGACTTAAATATCATCTTATTAAACAATGAATGGGTTACCAATAAGATCAAGAAAGAAATCAAGAACTTCCTGGAAGCAAATGAAAATTAAGACACAACAAACGAAAATCTCTGGGACACAGCAAAAGCAGTCCTGAGAGGGAAGTTCATAGCACTATAGGCCCACCTCAAAAAACAAGAAAAATTAGTAATAAACTACTTAACCCTTCAGTTTACAGAATCAAAAAGAGAACAAGAAAAGCTCAGAGTAAGTAGAAGGAAGGATATAATAAAGATTAGAGCAGAAATAAATGACATAGAGACTAAAAAAACAATACAAAACAAATCTATGAAACAAGAACTGGTTCTTTGAAAGGATAAGATGGACCTTTAGCCAGACTCATCAAGAGCCTTAGATGTTTTAGCTCAATGGATAGAGCATCAGCCTGCAAACTGAAGGGTCCAGGGTTCGATTCCGGTCAAGGACATATGCCTGGTTTGCAGGCTTGATCCCCAGTAGGGGTTGTGCAAGAGGCAGCCGATCAATGACTCTCTCTCATCGATGTTTCTCACGCTCTCTCTCTCCTTCTCCCTTCCTCTGAAATCAATAAAAATATATTTAAAAAATGAAAGAAAAGAAACAAAGAGAGGACCCAAATAAATACAATCAGAAGTGGAGAAGTAACCACTGACACCACAGAAATACAAAAGACTGTAAGAAAATACTATGAATAACCACATGTCAACAAGCTGACAATGGGGATGAAAAGGATAAACTCCTAGAAAAATACAATCTCCCAAAACTAAAACAGAAGAATCAGAAAACCTGAATAGGCCAATAACAACTGAGGAAATAGCAGCAAAAATAAAAAAAACTCCCACCAAACAAAAGCCCAGGTCCGTATGGCTTCACAGGGGAATTTTACCAAACATTCAAAGAAGAACACCTATACTCCTCAAACTATTCCAAAAAATCCAAGAGAAAGGAACACTCCAATCTCTTTTTATGAGGCCAGCAATATCCTAATTCCAAAACCAAATAAAGACACTACAAAGAGAATTACAGGCCAATATCATTGATGAACATAGATGCTAAAGTCCTCAACAAATTATTAGCAAATCACATCCAGCAATATATTACAAAGATCATATACCATAACCAAGTGGGATTTATTCCAGGATGCAAGGCTAGTACAATGTTTGCAAATCAATAAATGTGACACATCACATAAGCAAATTGAAAGATAAAAATTGTGGGGCGCGGCTACAGTGTTTTGGACAGGTTCAAGCCTTGGACTAATGAGAGGGTACAGTCCTCTCGTGGCCACGTGCAAGTCCCAGCTGGAGGGCAGAGCCCTCCCAGCACAATTATAGGCAACAGCTATAGTTGTAAGCTTGAACTTATGGTCCGAACACGTAGCCCCACGTGCCTGAGTGATAGAGTTCAGGTGCATGTAGTTGAGTAGGGTTGAAACCCAACGAGAATGTTGTAAACATCTTGATCACGCCCTTACTTTGCCTCGTGGCATCTGCTATAAAATAAAGACACGGCTTGTGGGCGTGGGTGCTGTCCATCAGAGGAGCAGCGTCCCACCGAGACCCAGCTTTCATTCTCTTTTCTGTCTTTTCTAAGCCTTTCATCGCCCCCACTCAGGGTCACTGAACCAGGCTGAGCTGGCATGAGTATGCCATGGCCGTGCCGGCTCCCCCAAAAAATCTCATGATCATATCAATAGATGCAGAAAAAGCAATTGACAAAACCCAACACCCATTTTTGATAAAAACTCTCAGCAAAGTGGGAATAGAGGGAGCATATCTCCATATGACTAAGGCTGTTATGCCCAGATTTCAAGAACCCCCAAAGATCCACCAGGGAGCGCCAAATCCGATGCAAAAGCAGAGAGTCTTTTATTCAAGCTAGCTTGGTCCCCCTCTGCCTCCATTACTGGATGCGAGAGAGAGCCCGGAGTCCCAAGAGAACAAAGAATTTATAGGGCTTGGACCACTGATTTGGCCAATTCCGGTTGGTTGAGTGAGGGCCGGGGGGCTAATGACGCAAAGGCAGGGTGCAGTTAGGGTCTGGTTACACAAAGACAGGGGGTGGCTAGCATACTCTTGGCCTTGAGTTTGTTTTCCCTTGCATTCCCATTGGCTGAGACAAGGGCAGGCTGAGTAACTGATACACTCCATGGCTTTTGCTGGAAGAGGAGTTAGGAACACAGCTATCAGTCCCGTTCTGTCCTTTCAAGGCCATATGACAAACCTAAAACAAACATCATACTCAATGGGCAAAAACTATAATCATTCCCCCTAAGAACAGGAACAAGACAGGAATGTCTGCTTTCACCACTCTTATTCAACGAAGTCCTAGCCACAATAATCAGACAAGAATAAAAGGCATCGAAATTGGAAAGGAGAAATAAAACTCTCATTATTTGCAGATGATAAGATACTGTACATAGAAAACCCCAAAGACTCCACCAAAAAACTACTAGATTTAATAAATAAATTTGGTCATGCAACAGGATACAAAAATCAACACCCAAAAATCGATGACTTTTTTATACACCAAATAATAAATTCTCAGAAAGAGAAACTAAACAAACAATCTCATTTACCACTGCATCAAAAAAATTAAGATACTCAGGAATAAACTTAACCAAGGAGGTAAAAGACTTGTACTTGGAAAACTATGAGATGTTGAAAAAGAGATAGAAGATATTAACAAGTGGAAGAATATACTGTGTTCATGGATTGGTAGAATCAACATCATTAAAATACTACCCAAGGCAATCTATAGATTCAGTGCAATCCTATTAAAATACCAAGAGCATATTTAACAGATCTAGAATAAATACTCCAAAAATTTATATGGAATCAGAAAAGACCCTGAATAGCTGCAGCAATCTTGAGAAAGAAAAACGAAGTTGGAGGAATCACAATACCAGATTTCAAGTTATACTACAAAGCCACCATAATCAAAACAGCCTGGTACGGGCACAAGAAAAGGCATGGAGATCAATGGAACAGAACAGAGACGCCAGAAATCTACCCAAGCTATTATGCTCAATTAATACTTGACAAAGGAGGCAAGAGCATACAATGGAGTCAAGACAGTCTCTTCAATTAATGGTATTGGGAAAATTGGGCAGCTACATGCAAAAAAATGAAACTAGATCAACAATTTATACCATACACAAGAATAAACTAACTTAAATGGATGAAAGACTTAAATGTAAGTCGTGAAACCATAAAAATCCTAGAAGAAACCATAGGCAGCAAAATCTCAGACATCTCTTGTAACAATGTTTATAGATACATCTCCTAGGGGCAAAAGAAACTAAGGAGAAAATAAACAAATGGGACTTCATCAAAATAAAAAGCTTCTGCACAGCAAAAGAAGCCATCAACAACAAAAAGGGAACCCACTGTATGGGAGAACATATTTGGCAATGATACATCTGATAAAGGGTTAATATCCAAAATATTTTAGGAACTCATGCAACTTAACAAAAGGAAGACAAAACAATCTAATTAAAAAATAGGCAAAAGACCTAAATAGACACTTTTCCTAAGAGGACATACAGATGGTCAAGAGACATATGAAAAAATGCTCAATGTCACTGATCAGAGAAATGCAAATTAAAACAATGAGGTATCTGCCCTGACCAGTTTGGCTCAGTGGCTAGAGCGTCGGCCTGTGGACTGAAGAGTCCCAGGTTCGATTCCGGTCAAGGGCATGTACCTTGGTTGCGGGCACATCCCCAGTAGGGGGTGTGCAGGAGGCAGATGACAGATGTTTCTAAAAACAAACAAACAAACAAACAAACAAACAAAAACCCCAATGAGGTATCATCTCACATCTGTCAGAATGGCTATCATCAACAAATCAATAAATGACAAGTGCTGGCAAGGATGTGGAGTACCCTGCTGGTGGGAATGCAGACTAGTGCAGCCATTATGAAAAACAGTATGGAATTTCCTCAAAAAATTAAATATGGAGGAAAACAGTAGGGAGTTTCCTCAAAAAATGAAATATGGAACTGCCTTTTGACCCAGTGATCCTACTTCTAGGACTATATCCTAAGAAACCTGAAACACCAATCAGAAAGAATGTATGGCCCAGGCTGGTTTGGCTCAGTAGATAGAGCATTGGCCTTCGAACTGAGGGGTCCCAGGTTCGATTCTGGTCAAGGGCACATGCCAGGGTTGTCAGGGTTGTGGGCTCGATCCCTAGTAGGGGGCATGCAGGAGGCAGCTGATCAATGATTCTCTCTCATCATTGATGTTTCTCTCCCCCGCCTTCCTTTCTGAATAAAAATATTTTAAAAATTTTTTAAAGAAAGAAGGAATGTATGCACACACATGTTCATAGCAGCATAATTTACAATAGCTAAGATCTGGAAACAACCCAAGTGCCCATCAGTAGATGAGTGGATTAAAAAGATGGAGCATCGGCACGCGGACTGAAGGGTCCCGGGTTTGATTCTGGTCAAGGGCACATGCCCGGGTTGCGGGCTTGGTCCCCAGTAGGGGGTGTGCGGGAGGCAGCCAATCAATGATTCTCTCATCATTGATGTCTCTCTCTTCCTTTCCCTTCCTCTCTGAAATCAATAAAAATAAAAAATAAAAGCTGTAGCACATTTATACTATGGAATACTATGCAGCAGTAAAAAAAGAATCTCTTACCCTTTTGAGAGAGCATGGAGGGACCTGGAGGGTACCATGCTAAGTGAAATGAGTCAGAGTATCACATGATCTCACTCATATGTGGAATCTAATCTATACTAATAAAAGCCTAAGTGCCCCTCGTGCGATGCCCCCATGTCACACAAGATGGCAAGCAGGAGAGGGCAGTTGGGGTGATTGGGCCAGCAGGGGAGCGATTAGGGGGCAATCAGGCTGGCAGGCAGGCAAGTGGTTAGGAGTCAGCAGTCCCAGATTTGAGAGGGATGTCCCCCTGAGGGGTCCCAGTTTGGAGAATGTATAGGCTAGGCCAGGGGTCCTCAAACTTTTTAAACAGGGGGCCAGTTCACTGTCCCTCAGACCGTTGGAGGGCCGGACTATAGTTTAAAAAAAAACTATGAACAAATTCCTATGCACACTGCACTTATCTTATTTTGAAGTAAAAAAACAAAACGGGAACAAATAAAATATTTGTATTTGTAGTTTTAGGACCCCTGGGCTAGGCTGAGGGACTCCCCTCCCATGCACGATTTTCATGCACCGGGCCTCTAGTTAACAAAATGAATTGATGAACTGAGTAGATCGAGACATGGAAGGCAGGGGAGGGTGGGGGGGTAGGAGGTAATCAACCAAAGATCTTGTATGCATATATGCATAACCCATGGACACAGACAATGGGGTGGTGCAGGCCTGGGGCGGGGGTAGCAGGGGCAGGCTGAAGGGGGCCAATGGGGGGGAAAGGGGGACATATGTAATACTTTCAATAATAAAGAATTATAAACAAAAACAATAAAAACTAAATTAGCCAGTTTAGGAGGAACCTAAAATCCAGGCAATAGAACCAAACCACATTTTAAACCCCATTTCTACTCATTCATCGAAAGGTGGTAGGTTTGATTCCCAGTAAGGGCAGATATCTAGGTTAGGTTCAATGACCAGTCAGGGTGTGTTTGGGAAGCAACCCATCGATGTTTCTATTTCTTTCTCTCCCTCCCCCTTCCTCTAACATTTATGAAAAATATACCCTCAGGTGAGGATTAAAATGAATAAACACACACACACACACACACACACACACTCCATGAATAAATAAAATAAATGCTGCAAATGCTGCATCTCTACAACACAATATCACCAGACTCTTTTAGGATACTTCCTGTCTGCCATACACTATCTGGGAAATAGCGAGCAAAGCGTCTCAAGTTTGCCAAGATAAAGCACCACCTCTGCAATACCCACGGTGCATTTTGTAGTCAAATGCAGTTAATTCCTTTCTGGGATGTGAGGCACGTATTCTGGAACAACAGAGAAAAAGCCAGCAGGATCCCAAATGGTAAAGTGATCAAGGATATCAGAGCAACACACTTCAGTAGCCAGAGTCTTCCAGAGTAATTATGAGGCTTTTAGTTTGCAAAAGGAAATTTGCGAAGTTTTTTGTTTTGTTTTATTTTTTAGGAAAAGGAACAAAGTTGTGAAAGAGAATTAGCTTCTGCACTTACCTTATCTTGTAATGTGAGAACGGTCACTTTATGGACATTCAGGCGCACAGTCACCTCTGGCTTGCTGGCACATACGTAACAATTAGGGTTGGGAGGATCCAGTGCACAAGGCACAAGGAGCTTCTTCCTTGGGTTTGGTTGTTTATTCAAAAAGATCTTTGGAGGAGAAAAAACACAAGCATAAATCAGAAATTCAAGCCACAGTTTTATACACCATACATATGAAGCTTACTGTCTTTTATTTATGTCACTTAACAATGACAAATATTCCCTTCTGGATGGCAAAAAGGATAAGGAAAAGCATGACCTTAAGAGCCTGATTTCCCAAACTTCTTTTCAAATTAGCTACCATGTAGGGAGAAGTATAGGTGGAGGTGGAAGAGAGCATAGAGGGAATAAATAGTGATAGAAGAAATAAAATAAATTGGAAAAAAATTAGCTACCATGTAAAAGGCTTAGCTTACTGAAAAGAAATTTACTTATATTTAAGACTGTAGACCTAACTGGTTTGGCTCAGTGGATAGAGCGTCAGCCTGCAGACTTAAGGGTCTCAGGTTCGATTCCAGTCAAGGGCATGTACCTTGGTTGCGGGCATATCCCCAGTAGGGGGTGTGCAGGAGGCAGCTGATCGATGTTTCTCTCTCATCGATGTTTCTAACTCTCTATCCCTCTCCCTTACTCTCTGTAAAAAATAAATAAAATATATTAAAAAAAAAAAAGACTGTAGACTATGCTGCAAATTAATTTAGCAAGACTAAGGGCTGAGTCATATTCATTTCTGGTTTCATTAAATCAGTTTTTGGGTGCCTTGCTAGTAGTTATTCTTATCAATTTTAAGCCAACTTCTCAGCTAATGAGAATGCTTTGACAGATGTATGGAACCAATGTGCTTAGCTTCCTTTTCAAATTTTCTATGACTATAATATTAACACTTAAATAATTAAGAGAAAAAATAATGTATTTCTGGCACTATAAGCACCTAGTTACCATTTCTCTATTATCCAAACAAAAAAACAGTAAGAACCAAGGCAAATTAAAAAAAAAACTACACTGAAATTTAAAAAGGCGCCTGGCCAGTGTGGCTCGGTGGTTGAATGTTAACCCATGAACCGAGAGTTTACATGTTGTATTCCCTATCAGGGCACATGCCCACATTGTGGGTTCGATCCCCAGTATGGGGCATGCAGGAGGCAGGTGATTGGTGTTTCTCACTCATCACTTTTTATCTCTCTATCCCTCCTTCTTCACTCTCTAAAAATCAATAAAGACATATTAGAAAATTAATTAAAAAGCCCTAACCTCATACTACTACGAAGCTTGGAGAACACTAGCCAGATTCAATACAAAGAAATGTTAGGACAACAATGAAATCTCATATACAATTTATCATCTTGTGATTACTAGGTTCTGTGGTATTTGCTAAGATTAATTCATTCTAAAGGGAAAAACCCCATAGATTCCCACAGTAAATTCCTCAAGAGGCAGTAAGTGGTAGGAAACAACCTCCCATAGTAACAGTATTACTGGTACTAGTCATTGTACTAGTGGGTCTGGGAGCAGGGTAGAAAGGGGGGAACAGATTTGTTTGATCTTGAGCTTCACTGGAATGGTAACTGTGCCTTAGCAAACTGACAGTAATGAAAGTAAGCACTAATACTACTAATACCCAGACTAACACTACTAACCCATCCTGAAATTCATTATGGACAAATAAAACTCAGAAATAAGTATCATTAGCTCAAGAGAGAATAGAGCTGAGACAGCAAAGAACCAATAAGGATGTTACAGGAACAGTAGATATTTTAATAAATTCAACAATTAGCAATGTTTGTGAGCTCGAAGGGATACTATAGCCACAGGATAAATTAAGGCTTCTATAAAAAGGTAGAACTAAAAAAATGAAGTTCTTAGAAATTAAAAATAAGTTAGCTTAAAAAATTATTTTTATTTTTTTCCTTGTCTTTTTATTTTCGGTATTAAGTTATTACATATGTGTTCTTATCCCCCTAAGCTAAAAAATTTTAATAAAAGATGGCACACTGGCAACATGATTCTACATCAAGCATGTCAAACTCACAGCCCATGGGCCGCATGCGGCCCATAATGAGTATTTTTGTGGCCCAGCCAATATAACAATATGTAAGAAACGTTTTAATAAAAATTTCATGACTTAATTTTTACAATATCCTGTTATACATAATTATTAATAACAAACTACAATGTTCGCTAATGACTGATTACTATAATCGTGTTGCATTCATTTCCCTTACACGCAGATGCACCTTTTCTCTCCACTAATAGTAGCAGTGAATATTTTAGCAGCCAATTACCACATCATTAGTCTTGGACGTACTTGTTTGGCTTGCACAACAGGAAATATTTCGCTTTTGGAGAACAAGAAAAATAGATTTGTGTAACGCTTATTAATTTGTGTAGTTATTCAGTGTCTGGTAAGCTAATGTTCAAGAAAAAATATTAACTTTTATTAAAATGTCCTATTATTTTTAACGATTACTCATTTATGTCAGCCCTTCGTATTCAGCATGTCTCCATTGAAATAAACCTACATTTCTATTAAAATTGAAGCTTTTGTTTTTTTTTTTCGGCCCACATAAACTTAAACCTTGTTTATTTGGCCCGTAGCCTTTGAGTTTGACATGCTTGTTCTACATTCCTTCACCCTGAAATTTCATGAAAACAATAAGATATTTAAATACTACATCAATAATGGCACTAAAGCTCTGCCTGGCATGTCTCAGTGGTTAGAACATCGGCCCAAACACGGAAGCTCACGGGTTTGAGCTCCTTAGGACTCAAGCAGGAGGTAACCAGTGGATGTTTCTCTCCACTCTCCTACTCCCAACCGGCCGCCACCTTCTACTCTCTCTGAAAAGCAATGGAAAAAATATGCTCAGGTGAGGATATTTTTACAACAACAAACCAGGGCTAATGGCACTGAAATACCATCACAGACTAGGGTTTGTTTTTTTAAATAGAAATTCCTAAAAGTAAATTGACCCTTCTATAAAAGGAGAAACTACATTGCAAGAAATATTAGCCACAATATGTTTAAGGAGATTTTTAATTGCCCAGCTGGTAGGAAATCAAAGCACCTCAGACACACAAACTCAATACAGAATGAAAACAAGAATCCACAGGGGATATCCAAGTGTCTTACTCTTGAGATACAGCTAAGAAGACACATAAAAGAAGGACATGCAAGGGGAGAAGAGTAAAGAAGAGAAGGATAGCTTCCCCACAAAAATTACAAGAAAAATTATTTTGATCTTGGTGTGTCAAAGAGGGAGGAAACTTCCTTTATAAAATTACAATAATATAGGGCTCATGCAGATTTGCTGTCTGAATATGTATGTGAATTGAAAAACTAAAAAGTTTTAAAATGGCCCTGGATTGGTCAGACCCTAGGCACCCAGAAATAAGTAAACACAAATCCTCTGAAGAAATGTATCTTTAAGGGGTCCTTAAAGAATTATCAAAGAGAGTTTTAACAAATACTAAGTCAGTTAAAAAAACAAATTATACACCAAACAATATTCCTGTACTATAAGAGATATCTGGCAGACGGAACACTATGTAAAAACACTATGATTGTCTAACCAGGGGTGGGCAAACTTTTTGACTCGAGGGCCACAATGGGTTCTTAAACTGGACCGGAGGGCCGGAACAAAAGCATGGATGGAGTGTTTGTGTGAACTAATATAAATTCAAAGTAAACATCATTACATAAAAGGGTACGGTCTTTTTTTTTTTTTTAGTTTTATTCATTTCAAACGGGCCGGATCCGGCCTGTGGGCCGTAGTTTGCCCACGGCTGGAACCACTACGCTGAACACATGAAACCAATATAATATAAAATGTAAACCGTAATTTGAAAAAAAACAAAACGGGACTATATAACAACCAAACAAAATTAAAAACCCATAAAGGACTCAGCACTCACAAGGTATCTGGAACAATTATTTTTCCACTGCTTTAAACCAGTTTTATTGATTTTTTTTAAAAATGTCAGTTTAATGTGTTTTTTTATAAATTGTTTTTTCCCTGCAAATATATATTACTTTACAAAGAGAGTGAATAAAAAACAAATAGAAATACTCACTGTTCTACACTGGTCTATTTTTCCTGATAAAATCTTCAATCCTTCCAATACTATTAACCCAGCAATCACCGCATTAGTAGTCGCGATAGCAGGAATAATGTTCCCTGCCATTGCTAAAAGACATTAAAAATTAAAAAGAAAGATGAATATGCTTAACTATTAAAAAAGAAAAGAATAACTTAGTATTTTAGATGTTACAACTGAAGTACAACTTACATTTTATATCAAATCTGCTCTTCATATTCATACTGAAAATATGCATCCTGAGATTTGCAGCAGAGGTGACAAAATCCATTGCAGATGGATCATCCTGCCAATAATTTAAATAATTTAACAAGTCTCCCCACAATTTTACTAATTTGATTAGTATTACTTTCAGAACAGTACTTTCACATGTTTATAACATTGCAGTCAGTCAACTAGAACATGAGATGGCCTTGCGGGAAATAAAGCCTTACGGTAGCGTGGACATTAGATGAGTAGGGGGCAGGGTCTCATCATCAGCTCTTCTGACCCAGGAATGTAATCTGACAAGAATGTCATGAGCCACCAGGCTCCTAGGAACTTGGAAACCAATTCCATTAATGACAATGGCAATCTTTTCCTGGGTCCATCAGTCAGTACAGGCATACCTCGGATATTACAGGTTCCATTCCAGACCACAGCAATAAAGTGAGTATCCTAATAAAGCGAGTCATAAACTTTTTGCTGGTGGAGGTAGGTTCTTGCCTTCCATTTGTTAAAAACACAACATCCGCCCTGGCTGGTGTGGCTCAGTTGATGGAGTGTCATTCTGTGCCCCAGAAGGTCATTGGTTCGATTCCCAGTCAGGGCACATACGGGAGGCAACCTATTGATGCATATCTCTAAAATCAATGTTCCTCTCTCCTTTCTTCCCTCTCCAAATTCAACTTAAAAAAAAAAAGAGAACACAGCATCCGTGAAACGCAACAAAGCAAAGTACAATAACATGAGGTATGCCTGTAATAAGAAGGTTGTTTGACAAAAGATTTCAGGCAGCCGAAACCGGTTTGGCTCAGTGGATAGAGCGTCGGCCTGCGGACTGAAGGGTCCCGGGTTCGATTCCGGTCAAGGGCAGGTACCTGGGTTGTGGGCACATCCCTAGTAGGAGATGTGCAGGAGGCGGCTGATCGATGTTTCTCTCTCATCGATGTTTCTAACTCTCTATCTCTCTCCCTTCCTCTCTGTAAAAAATCAATAAAATATATTAAAAAAAAAAAAAAGATTTCAGGCAAAGAAATGGAGGCTTTAAAAAACAAAACAAAACAAAAACCTGTTCAGATAAAGTCTCAGAAACACCTGGACAACTCCTTTTGGCTTTCCTTCTCCTTCATGTATACACCACTCTCCTACATTTGCTATTTCTTTTCAGAAATGGCAAAACAATAAAACTTTTTCCCTGACAATTTATATTCTTCCTGAAACTATATCCTAGTCTCTAGAATTAGATTTTAGTAAGGTTTCCTGCATTCCTGAGAAGATTCTATTCTACCCTATAATTCAGAAGCACCAAAGAAAGGAAAAGTATTGACAGGATGTCAGTCCTTTATATATTTACTAGAGGCCCGGTGCACAAAATTCATGTGGGGGTGGGGAGGAGTGTCCCTCAGCCCAGCCTGCACCCTCTCCAATCTGGGACATCCCTCTCACAATCCGGGACTGCTGGCTCCTAACCACTTGCCGGCCTGATTGCCCCTAACCACTTCTGCCTGCCAGCCTGATTGATGCCTAACTGCTCCCTGCTGGCCTGGTTGCCCCCAACTGCCCTCCCCCACCAGCCTGGTCACCCCTAACTACCCTCCCCTGCCAGCCATCTTGTGATGACATCGCACATGATGCCACCTAGGCTTTTATTATATAGGATTGGCTGGCTGTATAACTTCAAGGCAAATAAACTTCCCTGAATCAAAATTCCTTAATCTGTTAAATAAAAAAATTAAATACTTCGGAACGTTGTAGTTGAAATTAGGTTGTTCCTAATCCTGAGAATTACATTGAAATATTCAACAGTATCCAACACAGTGTCTATCAATTACTTCCCTAGGCAATTAGCTTATTACACCCCTTAGGTATTGATTTTACTCAGAGGGTAACAATTCCCACTTCCAAGGTTTCGTTAACCAGCCCGTGTACAGATGAAAACCTCCCAAATCCCTGTTGTAACAATAACAATGAAAATATTTTTAAAACATAGTTACTCCTAACATCACATGTACCTAAAAGACTGAATCCCAAAAAATCTAAATTCACCATCTTCACTTTAGATGCCTGATTCAACCACAATTCCAGAATTTGCAGAGTTATCATATTGTTTGCCATCACAGGAACATATAAACTTTGTATCAGATATATCACTTATAGCCTTGGAAAATATTGACTGCAATTAGAAATAAGTAAAACTCATTAAACCTCAAAATACGACATCTAGCTCTGGCTGGTGTGGCTCAGTTGGTTGGGCATCGTCCAGCACACTGAAAAGTTGCTGGTTCAATTCTGGTCAAGGCACATGCCTGGGTTGGGGGGCTTGATCCCCAGTAGGGGGTATGCAGGAGGCAGCCAATCAATATTACGCTCTCACATTTCCCCTCTCTCTTCCTTCCTCTCTAAAAATCAATAAAGCCCTGACCAGTTAGGCTCAGTGGATAGAGTGTTGGCCTGCGGACTGAGGGGTCCCAGGTTCGATTCTGGTCGGGGGCATGTACCTTGGTTGCGGGCACATCCCCAGGAGGGGGTGTGCAGGAGGCAGCTGATGGATGTTTCTAGCTCTCTATCCCTCTCCCTTCCTCTCTGTAAAAAATCAAAAAAATATATTAAAAAATAAAAAAAATAAAAATCTTTTAAAAACATACTTCTATATGTAAAAGAAATATGACATCTAATTGCAAAATACTATTATATATTAATTTGTAAGGATAATTACATGTCATTTTTGTATTGAGGGGTCTTAGACTTCTAAAACAGTTATTACTATTGCAACAGAAAGGCAATTTTATTTTCTTTCACAGTCAAACTGGCCCAAATCTGTTGTCTCCAAAAGGATTTTGACTTCTATTAAATCTATACCACACAGGAAGCTTTCTTAAGTCTGTAAGACATTTTACTCCAATACATTCACAATATTTCTCTTATCAACATAATATAAAACATGAACACATTAGAATCTAAATGAGGTTTTATGATATTGCCTGAATTCATGTATAGAAAATTCATAGTTTAATGTAAAAATTAAAGATAAAAACATGCAAAAAAATCAACACTATGCCCTATGTGGCAGAATAAACGATATTCAAAAATGACAGCTTCTGACTATAGTTCAAGAACTAAAATATACACCTGATATTTCAAAACGAACCTTGTCCCAAATGAGCTCAGCTCCATCCCCCTTTTCTGCTAAATGAACTCTCAAAGTCTCAATGCTCTTTGAAAAAAGACGTGCATAGCTCTTTACATCTAGAACTTGCTGGTCTTTCAGACCTAACTGGGGTTCATTTTGTTGATCTGCTGCATTGATTTCCTCTCCTAAGGGGAAAAAAAAATATTAGAAATTTCACTATTAAACATCATTCCTCTACTGTTTAACAATTCAATGCCTGACCAATAAGAAAATAAGTAATATGAAACAAATCCTACTGAAGTAATTATCACTATGATACAAATATGTATACAAGAAAATTGCTAATATTGAGATGGGAAAGGTGCAAGACTGTTTCAGAACCTCAAAGGGTTACTGGGGGATTTAAGGATATAATATAGATAAAGGTGATGAGCATTATGCCCAGCACATAGTAAGCACTCAATAAATGCAAACTCTTAGAGCCATACTTAAATTGGCCTGTAAATTCAAGTATCCATTACTATAGAAAACTGCTCCAAACTGACATCCCTAATCTCCTGGGACCGTTTAAGATCCAATGTGCTGACCATTGCTGTGCATACATCAATTGCAATACAATTCAGATAAAGCAGAGAGACTGTGTGTTGAAGGGGAGTGGGATAAGGAAGTTGTCACTACTGGAATAGCTTTACTCACATTTAGAATTATAAATGTTTCTAACTTAAAATCTTAAAGAAATAATCACACAAAGGTACAAAGATGTATGTACATATATACTCATCACAACATTGTGTTTCAGGGAAAATGAAGCAATTAAATGTTAACTGATAAAGGACTAGTTAAATATTGTTTACTAATAAGAGTAAGTCATGCCCTAACTGGTTTGGCTCAGTGAATAGAGCAGGGGTCCTCAAACTTTTTAAACAGGGGGCCAGTTCACTGTCCCTCAGACCATTGGAGGGCTGGACTATAGTTTAAAAAAAAAACTATGAACAAATTCCTATGCACACTGCACATATCTTATTTTGAAGTAAAAAAACAAAATGGGAACAAATACAATATTTGTATTTGCATGTGGCCCGCGGGCCGTAGTTTGAGGACCCCTGGGATAGAGCGTCAGCCTGTGGACTGAAGGGTCCCAGGTTCGATTCCAGTCAAAGGCATGTACCTTAGTTGTGGGCACATCCCCAGCGGGAGGTGTGCAGGAGGCAGCTGATCAATGTTTCTAACTCTTTCCCTCTCCCTTTGTCTCTGTAAAAAATCAATAAAATATATATTTTTTAAAAAAGAGTAAGTCAAAACATATGAATTTATATGCCTCTATTATGTAAAGTGCACACATAACTGCTTGTGCCTAAATGCTTAGATCTGATTCCCAGACATTCCCTAAAACATAGCGACTATTTCTCTAGGTGATAAGATTTCCAGTGATTTTCCCTTTTTCATACTTTTCTGAATTGTTTGAACTTCTTACCATGAACCATTTTCAAGAAACAACAGGGCTAAAGACTGAGGGAATTTCCAATTTAGATATTCCAAATACTAAAATGTATCCTTTACCTTGACTCTGTACTTCAGCCCAGTCCAATGGAACCGGAGGTTTCCTTTTCCGCCATAGTTTGTCCATTGTCAACAGATACCTGATATCATCTTTAAAAAGCTTTAAAATAAACAAACAGACAAACTCCATGAACCCTACAGTCCCTTTGCTAATAAAAGTCAGCAAAACTTCACTGGTGATTTATTATCAATATTATACTGTAATATCTTCTGATTTAAAGACATGCTGTATACCAGTAAAATGGCAATGTTTTTTAAATTTTTATTTATTGACTTGAGAGAGAGAGAGAAACATAGAGTTGTTGTTCCACTTCTTCATGTATTCACTGGTTGATTCTTGTATATGCCCTGACCGGGATCGAACCCACAACACTGTGGCATATAGGGACGACACTCTAACCAATTAAGCAACCTGACCAGGGCCCAGGCTAACAATTTTTATAAAAAAGCTCAAGTCTTTTGTAAAAGAAAATTTGACACAGAGCTCCTACATCTGAGACATTAAAAGGAGAGGTGCTCTGCCCAGCCAGTGTGGCTCAGTTGGTTGGGCGTCATCCGTGCACCAAAAGGTCACCAGCTAATTCCTGGTCAGGGCACATGCCTGGGTTACAGGCTCAATCCCCAGTGTGGTGTGCAGTAGGACACCAATCAATGACTCTCTCTCATCAATGTTTCTCTCTCTCTTCTATAAAAACATACATACATTTTTATATATATATGTTTTAAAGAAGCAGAGATGCTCTGAGGAAAGCAGAGTAAGGGAATTCCTAGTTATGAAGACTGACCCTGCCCTCCCAATCACCTCCCTAAAAGCTCCCCTAAGGCTTCAAAGATCGTCCAAAGCACAATACCAATCAAGGGATTAAATAAATATACACCAACTCCCTAAGAATTGAACACAATTATTGAGCCTAGAGATCCCAGTTAGCAGTATCTCCAAATCTGTGGGTACATACCAATAAAGCATACATATTCTAAATTTCTTAACCATCTGTAACATCTCTGAAATGTGTCCCCCCCCAAATAAACAAACAAAAATTACTATTTCAAAAACATAAACATTACTACATGTAGACTGAAAGACTATCACATAAATCACACTATCCTATGTGGTAGAATTTCAAATGATTTTATCTTATCCTTAGTTGCATTTTCTATTCCTGATTTACTGAATGTATTTATTATATTTATCTCTAGGAATTTAGATTTGGCTTAACAAAAAAAGTTAAAGTTAGAACTATACTATATTCTATCAAATCTACTCAATTCAATCAATATTTATTAAGCATCTTTAATCTTTGGAAAACCAGCCATATATACATATAATTAGAATATAGTGTGAAAATCAAATAGCTTGGAGTATTAGCAGGAATTTTGTTGTATCAATCTGAGAAATGAGGCAAGAATTCAAGGAGAAGGTAACATCTGAAATGGGGACACAGGAAAGGAATGTGAAGTCCGATATGGTATGAGTCGCAAATGTGGCTGGAGACATTATGTAGAGGACCTTCAGCACTTGACTGAAAAGTCTTCCAGGCAATGGGAAATTAGCATTGTTTCCCAAGCACAAGCTCCATGTCCTTTTTTATCCAATTATTAAATGCCGAGAGTCCCTGTACAGAGGTATCTTCATACTCTTCTTTTTCTATAAACCTATGAATCCCTATACATGTCTAGTCCAAACCTCTCTACTCACCTACAAAATCTCTTATCATTTCTCCAATATTTCATAGGATTCCTATCTCCTTCTCTATGCTCCAACCCCTACACACCTGCTTTCTACCACACCTACCTCAGAGAATGGTACCTCTGTTCATCCTGCTGCCCAGCAGGAAACCAGGTATTGATTCTTATTGATTCTTCACCTCATATGTCCTAAATACTCCAGGTCTATTTTTCCTCCACTCTCCACTAAGAATAGAGAGTAGAAGAGGTTGCCCTTCAGACTACTTTGGTGCTGCACAATTCCAGAAGTACTGTCCCATATTGCTCACAACAGGAACATCAGGTGCTATAGTGGTGCACTGCGTACCCTATATATCCTTATAGTGACACTATAGACTATCTTCTAATGGATTCCCACTGTCTTCATATAACCTAGAAAGCCCTGCCTGATCCAGCCTCAGCTTACCTTTCCAATCCTCTTTCCACTCTCCCCTTTAGTGGAAATGATTTCAGTACTGTAACCTGAGACTTTCTTTATATTTGTTGCACTCATCTCCACCCTTACTCTTTAAAATCTTAGTTCACCCTAAGAAATGTCACTTCCTCTGGAAAGCTTCTTTTAAACCCTTATACTAGGAAATAATAATGTCTAATAATAAGTAGGTTAAGTCTAATTATTAAAGGATTCCAATGCAAATTAACTTAATGTCTTAACATTGAACTGAAATTACTTGTTCAATGTTTGACTTCCCCTCTAGACTTTGAGTTCCCTATAAAGAGCAGGGACCCTATTTTCTGTTTTGTTCCACACTAAATCTCCTGTACTTTTAAAGTGGTGTCTGACACACAGCAGATGCTTAAAGTTACCTGTTGAATAAAAGAATGGAAATGTATGTCAAATTATTCTGGCATTCAACTGTTGCTCAGATTGGAATGGAAATAGGTATATAGATACCAGTTTGGAAAATACTGTCACTATCCATATCACAGTTAAGTGCATTTTAATTATAATCAAAATAAAACCCCCCCCCCCGCCCCCCACCAAGGAAAAGGCAATAGTGAGGAAATAAATGCAATAGGTTTAAGAAAGTCAACCTGTGACATCTGTGGACAGTAAGCAAAGAGATGAAATGCAAGCTGGATGAAGCAGTAGGCCATTTGCTTTTAGGACAGTAAGACCTGTACATGTTAGAAACCAGACAGCAGGAGCCAGGAGAGATTTAAGATGCAGGGCAGAGAGAAAATACTGTTTGAAAAATAAGGTACAAGGGGAAGGGAAAACAGAAGGTAGAAGAGTTAGCCTTAACTCAGAGAATTTTCTCAAACAGAAAAAAGAGTTTGCAGTGAAGTGGGATATTCTCTTAACAGGTAAATTATGTGCAATGGCATCAAACCTGTTAACGTATCTTTAAAGTCATCTGCTTAGTGAGGGAAGGAAGAATATTAGGCAGTTTAAGAAGAGCTGAGAAAGTTCCAAGTATCTGTTAGATAAACTTACTAAGGAGCAAAGTAGAAGAAATAAAAAGACTTTAAAACACAGATTTGAGGGCCTAAACTATAATTAAGTAGATCCAATTAAAACAAACTTGAGTATTCTTCTAGAAATATTCAGCAGACAAATAATATATACTAATGAAAAGGGATTCAGCCAAGAATAAGAGGCTTTGGGATTCAAAAACAATTCAGAACATGTCAAACTGCCAATAGAAAATTTAAGCAGGAAAGGTGTATAAGACGAGAAACAGCAGGAACCAAAGACTAATTATAAGGAAAACAAACTTTCAGTGAAAGTGAGAGAAGGGAAGACAACCAAGAGTGTATAAGCCTCTATATTTTACCTCCTATACAGACACTACACTAATTTAGTGATGCCAAAATTTCATAACCTCTTATTCTTGACTATATCAATAAATTTATTGACAGTATTAGGCATAAAAAGCTTAATTCAACGTCACATACTATTTTTAAAACAAACAGAATCCATAATCATAAAGTAAACCTAACCTTGGTAAAAAGTTTAACTGGATCATATCCAGTTGATTTAGCCCATTCCTTTGTGGAAATACGCTTAATGTCACCATCTTCATTTGATGCTCTGACTCTGGCTTCAGCTTCCATTGGTTCCCCTACAAAACAAACACCACTTTTATTTTCAACTGTAATAAATATAGAAGTAAGCTCTCATCTACCTTGGGGGTGGGGGGATGTCACTTTTGGCCGTTACCTGCACATGACACATTTTTAGTTCAAGGAGAAAGAAAAATAACATGTACATCCGTATTTTTATTTTACCTGAGATTCTGAAGGCCACATGTAGAGAGAGCAGTTCAATGTATAACCTATAATTAGATCTGGTAACAACTCCCAGCTCTTTTACTAGGTTTGTGCAATTTCTCTGCACCCTGTTCTCACCAGTAAAGAGACTGCCCAGTGTTTTAAAGATGAAGTAATACATCTTAAACATATATTATCTAGCACATAACTGCATTCTCCCTCCTAAAACTATCAATATTAAATTAGCAAAATAAAGGTGCTCACTAATAAGAAAAGATATCATCAAGCGTTTACTCACAGGAAGCTTCAGGGTCAGCTCTGTCAGGAGATACTTCTTGATCAGCATCTTCTTCCCCAAACAGCTGGCTATAATTTGAAAGTAGTAAATATTTATGTGCAACAAAATAGTCTGAACAAATGTTTACCTTTCCAATTTTCTTCACAAACAGCTAATTTACTTTTTTTCCTCTAAAAAATATTTTTATTGTTTTCAGAGGAAGGGAAAGAAAGAGATAGAAGCAGTAATGAGAATCATCGACCGGCTACCTCCTGCACATTCCCTACTGGGGATCGAGCCTACAACCCAGGCATGTGCCCTTGACCGGAATTGAATCCGGACCCTTCAATCTGCAGGCCGACGCTCTATCCACTGAACCAAACCAGCTAGGGCACAAACAGCTAATTCAGAATAACCCAAATCTTTAGTAAGGATGAAGAATAATTGATAAATACTATGTAAAGTAAAAATATTAATCTATTGACAGCTTACATCCTAATTTCAACTCCAACACAAGCAAAGCCAAATTTTAACACATTGTATGCGGGTAGTTTTTATCGCACGCTAACAGGTGGCGCGTGGCGCGGGCCATTTTTGCTAATTTTTTGCGCAAATGGCAACGTTCAGTAAAATTACGATAACTTTAGTTTATGTATTTATACGTTACCCACATTCTACCGCTAGTCTATAAAAAAACGTATTAACGTGTCCTGCGCTCTACTTACTACCAGTCAACGTAAAACGTATACATACATTTCCCGCATACAATGTGTTAACAGACCTATGTTCATTCCTATCAGCTAGGCTCTGCAAATTCATGTTAAAAATCTTTTATCAGGCCCTGGCCAGGCAGCTCAGTTGGTTAGAGTGTCATCCAGATATGCCGAGGTTGTAGGTTCGATCTCAGGGTACATACAAGAGTCAACCAACGAATGCATAAATAAGTGGAACAACAAATCAATATCTCTCTCTAAAAAAAAATCAATTAAAAATTTTTGATCAAGAGACAGGTGAGGAACTTTTACATTCCAAGTTGGCCACAATAATGTTTGTGAAGTATATCTACAACTAGTGTTCAACAAACATCACACACCGCTATGTGCCAGGTGCTGCTCTAGGTGCAGGAAATGCAGCAGTGAATACAACATTTTTTTAATGGTACTATGCATCATTACTACTGAAAAGTCTTAAGAAACTATATAAATAGTAAGCTTCAATTCTCTTTTGTTAATTATCCTAAAAACTATTTAATTTGCCCTAACCGGTTTGGCTCAGTGGATAGAGCGTCAGCCTGCAGACTGAAAGGTCCCGGATTCGATTCCAGTCAAGGGCAAATTAAACCTTGGTTGGGGGCACATCCCCAGTGGGAGGTGTGCAGGAGGCAGCTGATCGATGTTTCTCTCCCATCGATGTTTCTAACTCTCTAACCCTCTCCCTCTCTGTAAAATAAAAATCAATATATATTTTTTAAAAAACTGTTTAATTTATAACACTTACAGGAATACTAGAGGCCCACGCACGAAATCGTGTGGGTAGGGTCCCTAGGGCCTAGCCTCCTGCGATCAGGGCCATCTTCTGCCCGTTTGCCAGTCCCCAGCTCATCCCCGGCTGCTCAGGGCCGGCGACTTCACCTCCATGCGTGTGTGCCGGACCAGCCGCTGATGGAACACGCTGCCGCTCACGCAGGCGCCACCACCACCATCACTGCTGCCGCCGGGGTTTGAGACACTGACGGAAGCTGTGGGGCGCGCCTGAGATCTACCCACCCTGGCGTGAGGGGCCAGCCCCACACACGCACATGGAGATGAAGTCCCCATGGAGATGAAGTCCCCGGTGCCTGCTTTCCCGCAGGCCTGAGCCCGAGCAGCCAGGGATGAGCTGGTGATACCAACGGCCTGACAGCCAGCCTGGTCCTTCCGCCACCCACCCTGATGCCCCGTTCACCATCGCTGATCCATCAGAGCCTGGGGGCAGGGACCAAGAGGTCAGCTGTTCAGCCCACTCGCCAGTCCCCAGTCCCTCCCTGCGAGCAGCGTGGGGGGAGGGACCAAGAGGTGCTCAATGCACCTCATGGTGACCGGTCGTTTGGTTGTCACTGGCACTGGCTTCTTATATATATAGTTCCCCAAGTTTTCCTCAAGCACATGACATAGCAAAGTTATCTTAAAGGAATCTTTGTGGTTAAAAAAAAAGTCCAGCCAGGGTGGTCCAGTGGTTGAGCGTCCATCAGGAGGTGACAGTTTTGATTCTTGGTCAGGACACATGCCTGGGTTGCAGGCTTAATCCCCAGTGAGGGCCTGCAGGAAGCAGTCCATTGAAGATTTTCTCTCTCATTATTGTTTCTATCTCTCTCTCCCTCTGCCTTCCTCTCTGAAATCAATAATTAAAAAAAAAAAAAAAAAAGCTATCATCTAAAAGCTCCTAATACACTTCACAATACCCATTTGTTTACCAAACCTTACTGTACTAATTTGCACCCCCACAATGGCATGTAAGATTTATTGATTCACTTCGTCTCCAGACTTAATATTTGCCAAACTAATAGTGTAAAACAATATCTTACTGTGATTTTATTCTTAATTTTGCAAGTTAGTCATAAGTTAAACATACAATTTCTTTATTGCCTATTTGGGTTTCCTTTCAAGTGAAAAAAATGCCTGTTCATATTACTTTGTCAGGCTGTCAATTATTTCTATAATATGCCTGTAGATTCTTTGGAGTTTTTTTATGTAGATTACTTTTTGTTTTTAGGTTGTCTTTTTATTACAGGAATATATTCTAGATCAATTTTTAGTTGCTTATATGTTACAAATATTTTCTCACATTTAATGGCTTATCATCTGTATATCATTTAATGTCTTTTGATAAGACATTTGATGAATTGGAATGTATCAATATTTTCCTTTATGGTTAACATTTTTTGTCTTGAGAAATCATTCCCTAATCCTGAGGATAAAATTTCCTCCTATATTAGAAAGATTTTTAAGTTTTGCCTTTCACAACTAAATATTTAATCTGTACTTAATTTCTATTGCTTGAGGCAGAGATTATTTTCCAACATTCATACTGAATTGCCCTATCTTTTATTTATCTCTTCTTTCATCTAGGACCTTTTCTGTAACCTCAGCTATGAGCTCTGCCTTGTCCCAATCGCCTGTTTTTTCTACCCCTGCACCAGCATCACCCTAAATTATTTTTAGCTTATATTAAATCTCGACATCTGTTAGAGGAAGTCATCTCAAGTTATTCTTCTCCAGGAATGTTTTGTTTCTTAGGCCTTATTCTTCTATATAAATTTTAAAATTAGCTGAACAAGTTCCAATAAATCTCTTATACAATTTTAACTGGAATTATATTAAATATATAGAGTAATTTGGAGACGTACTGACAATATTGGAATTTTCAATCTACAAACAGACTCCTTTTATTTGGCGTTTTTTATGTTCTAAAAGCCACTAACTTTTTTAAAAAATTTACAGAGAGGAAAGAAGGAAATATTAATGTAAAAAACGTCGATAGGTTGTCTCCTAAAAGTGCCCCAACCAAGAATCCAACTCACAACCTGACTATGTGCTCTGATCGCAATAGAACCCACCACCTTTTATTTATTTTTTTAATTGTTTTTTAGAGAGGGAGAGGGAAAGAAACATTGATGTGAGAGCACAACATTAACAGACTGTTTCCTGCACACCTCTTACTCCAATCCGGGAATTGAACCAGCAACCTTTTGATGTATGAGATGACACTTCAATGAACTGATCCACAAGTTAGAGTGTGAATAACTTTCTACATTAAGGCTTACATTAAGATTTATTCTCAATATTTTCGGAGAAACCAAGATGGCGGCATAGGTAAACACCGGAAATTGCTGCCTCACACAACCACTTCAAAAATACAACTAAAAGACAAAACGGACATCATCCAGAACCACAGGAAGGCTGGCTGAGTGGAAATTGTACAACTAGAAGGAAAGAGAAAAGCACACTGAGACTCAGAGAAGGTGCGGAGTAAGTAAAGTGCAGAGGTACGGAGGCGCGTGCGGAAAGGCCTGGCAACTGAGGACGCGGTTGTCTTTTTCAATCGGGAGGGAGTCTCAAGCTCCTGACTGCTCTGAACTCCAGTTCCGGGCGAGTCTCTAGGGACCCAGACTCATCCAGGGAGAAACTGGACAGTCTGGCATCAGTCGGAACTCAAAGGCGGCTTTCTCTCAGAGGTACTTGCAGTGATTACCACGGGACACTGACCTGGGGCCTCTTAGGGCAGGGCTGAGGATCAACCATAGCTGTTTGCTCCGAGACCTCCTGGTTCATAGGTTGATGCTCAACTACTGAGGCAGCTGATCAATGTGTATCTCTCTCATCGATGTTTCTAACTCTCTATCCCTCTCCCTTCCTCTCTGTAAAAAATCACTAAAGTATATTTTTAAAAAGAAAAGGGACATTAGATAAAAACAAAGAAAATTTAAATAAACTATGGATTCTAGTTAATAATGTATCATATTGGTTCATTGTTACACATGTATCATACTAATGTGAGATGTTAATAGTAGAGGAAATTGGGTATGAGAACTCTACTACAATCTTCTCAATTTTTCTGTAAATCTAAAACTATTCTAAAAAGTAAAGTCTACTGCCTGGATGGTGTGGCTCAGTTGGTTAGGGTGTCATCCTGTAAACCGAAAGCTCTAAGATTCAATTATCCCAGTCAGGGCACATGCCTGGGTTGCAGGTTCCATCCCTGGTCGAGTTTCTCTCTCCTTCCCTCCCCATTCCTCCATCTCTAAAATCAATTAACATATCCTTGGGTGAGAATTAAAATAAATAAATAAAATTAAAAGGTAAAATCTACTAAAAGAAGTGTTTGCCAAATAAACAAAACAGTATTTTTTGTGAAATTTCACCATTATGTGTACTTCTCTGAGTGCATTTATATTATATCTTAATCAAAAAATAAATATCACCAGTGTCTGCTATAGGTTTCTAGAAGATATCTTTTATTAAGTTGATAAAGTCTCTTTTTATTGTACTAAGAATTTTTGTAATTAAAAGGCGTATGCTAAATTTTATCAGATAACTTTCTACATCGTTTCTCTTTAATTTTTTTAATCCTCACCTGAGGATATGTTTATATTGATTTTTTCTTTTTTTTGAGAGAGAGGGAGGGAGAGAGAGAAACATCAACTGGTTGCCTCCCATATGTGCCCTGATGGGGGACCGAACCTGCAACCTAGATATGTGCCCTAAATGGAAATCAAACCTGCACCTTTTGATGTATGGGATGAGGCTCCAACTAAACTGAGCCACCCAGCAGGGTTGATTTCTCTTTAATTTTTTAATGAAGTGAATGACACAAAGATTTTTCTAGTGTTAAACCACATTTGCATTACTGGAATAAATGCAACTTGCAAGTCTAAATTTGTATGCTAATTTTTTGTATAGAATTTTTGCATCTACATTTATGAATGAGAATGTCTTGTAATTTTCCTTTTATCCCATAATGGCCTTAATTAGTTTTGATATCTAAAGCATAATATCTCCATAACCTGCACTAAGTATTTAATCTTTTAAAAAATTCTCTAAAAAAAAAAAAAAAAATTTCTCTCTCTAAAAAGAAAATAAATTTATCTCTAGCCCAGCCAGCATGGCTCAGTGGTTGAGCATCAGCCTATGAACCAGTAGGTCACAGTTCAACTCTTAGCCAGGGCACATGCTCAGGATGCGGGCTCGATCCCCAGTGTGTACAGGAGACAGCCAATCAATGATTCTCTCTTATCATTGACGTTTCTATCTCTTTCCCTCTCCCTTCCTCTCTGAAGTCAATTATATATATATATATGAATGAAAAATTTCTCTGGAAGAGTTTATATAAGATTAGAATGGCCCTTGCCAGCATTGCTCAGTGGTTAAGAGCATAGGCCTGCATACCGGAGGGTCTTAGGTTTGATGCCTGGGTTGCAGGTCCAATCCTCGCACAATCCCCCACACATACACCCATTGTGGCAAATGTTGGAGGCAACCGATTGATGTGTCTGTCACATCGATGTTTCTCTCTCTCCTCCCTCCCCTCTTCTCTCTCTAAAAAAGGAAAAAATTCAATAAAAAAAATATCTTCATTGGGCGAGAATTAACAACAAAAAATATTAGAATGAAATAGTCCTTGCACATTTAGTGAGAAAGACCTGTAAATTCAGAGATTTGGTGCATTTTCAGAATTTAAATGATTAAATTATCTTAAGACATTGGACTATTTGGGCCTTCTACTTTTTGAATCAGTTTTGTAATGTGCTTTCTTTTTAAATAAATTTATCCAGATTATTACAGTTTTATATGTACTGACATTGTCTGCTCTTATCATTTCCATTCTGTGCTCAGATTACATTCCCCATTTAATTATCTCTCCTTTTTAAGATAAAACTTGCCAATTTTCTACTTTTTGCTCATATCTCAGTTATAGCCTTCCTTCTAATTTATTCTGTGGTTCTATTCTAACATAAGTTGGATCCTTACCTCATTAATGTTCACCTTTCTCCATGTAAGTTAAGGCTATAACTTTTCTTTCAACTACCACATTCAAAGCATCCTACAGGTTTCAGATGTAGTATTTTCACTATCATTACAAACTATTTTTAACTTCCATTTCTTTTTAATCAATGAGGTTTTTATGTTTGTATATCCCCAAAATAAATAGATTTGTATTTATTTAGTTACATGTTTATCTCCAATATCACACCAAGTTCACTGCATAAAACAGGCATGCAATAAATATTGGCTGAATTTAATCCAAGAATATCACAAGGAAGCTATTAAAGTGTCCCTTCACCACATTTAAAATAACATTCAGGCCTAGCTGTGTTTGCTCAGTGAATAGAGCATAAGTCCACAGTTGGAAGGGTTCAATTCTGGCCAATGGCATGTACCTCAGTTGCAGGCCCGGGTCAGGGCACGTGCAGGAGACAACCAATGGATGTGTTTCTCTCACATCGCTGTTTCTCTCTCTGTGTCTCTCCTCCTCCCTTCCACTCTCTCTAAAAAAAATCAATGGAAAAATATCCTCAGGTGAGGATTAACTCTCCCCCCCCCCACGCCCCCGCAAAAAAAACTTCACCATGAATACAATCTCTCCAACACTTTAAATAAAAAATGACCCCATTTTCTAGCATCAGTACTAAAAATATACCCAGAAATATACATATATTCTTACTTGAACAAATACTTTGCCCAAACAATGCAATGAATAGGTTCTGAAGGTGTGTTACGAATTGTGCAGCCAGGAAAAGTTCTCTGAGTTGGTTTCGGATGACATTCATAACATTCAGTCACACCCTGCAAAGTCAGAATGTGAGAAAAACAGTTACCCCACGAGGGTAGTTTCTCAATAAGATAATATTATCATAACCATTTCATTCATTCATCTCCATTTCAACTTAATTGTATACTGTCAAGGAAATTTTAAAATATCAGTGACTACAAAACCCTTACACTTTACAGAGAAGGAATCTTCTACACTAATAAAAGAGAAACATGGTAATTAGCGTACAACCGCTACCCTTTTCATTGGTTAATCAGTGAGTATATGCAAATTAACTGTCAGCCAAGATGGCGGCCGGGAGCCAGGCACTGAAGCGAACATGAGGCTTGCTTGCTGCGGACTCCAACGTTCCCCGCCTCACTTGCTGGCCTCTGAACTGCAACTCTAAGCAACTATGTACTATGTTGCAAATAAGAAGGTAAACAAAACACCAGAAACCAGGCGGACTGAAACCCAGCCGGACCGAAACATTGTATCCATGTTTTCAGCAGCGAGGCCTCAGAGCTAAAGCTGACCCAGAATAAAAAAAAAAAAAAAAGAAAAGAAAACAAGGAGCGGTTGGGAGCTTTAGTCACTCGCCACCTGGAAAACAGCCCTCAGCCCCTCACCCAGACTGGCCAGGCACCCCAGTGGGGACCTCCACCCTGATCCAGGACACCCTTCAGGGCAAACCAGCCAGCCCCTACCCATGCACCAGGCCTCTATCCTATAGAGTAAAAGGGTAATATGCCTCCCAGCACCGGGATCAGTGGAGCTGCGAGGCTCCCGGCACCGGGATCAGCATGACAGGGGGCAGCGCCCAAACCCACGCCCCCACGGGCCCTGCTCTGTGCCTGATAGGAGGGAGCTCCCCATCCCCCTGATTGGCCCTGCTCTGTGGGTGATAGAGGGTGGCGCCCCCAACCCCCCTCCACGGGCCTTGCTCTGTGTGTGACAGGGTAGAGCCATAACCTCCCCATTGGCCCTGCCCTGAGTGTGACAGGGTGCAGCGCCCCAACCCCCTTATCCACCCTGCTCTGTGTGTGTGAGGGGACGGTGCCCCAACTCCCCTATCGGCCCTACTCTGTGAGTGACAGGGGGGAGCTCCTCAACCCCCTGAAT